GCAAGGCCTCAACCACCGCAAACCCGGACCCAATAAGGAACACCGCCTGAGTCCCATGGAACTCGTCGTCGCCCCAGCTGGCCAGGATCGGCTTGAACACCTGCGTTCCGATGGCCGCGCCGGCCTTGCTCCACGCCGCGGCAAACCCGACCCCGTGTCCGCGCAACGCCGTAGGGAAGCTCTCGCTTGCAGTCAGCACAATCGTGGAACCGGGGCCGACCTCCCCGAGCGTCAGGAAGACGCCATACAACACAATAAAGAGGGGAAGGGAGCTCTCGATGTACTTCAGTGCGCCGCCGAGGATGAAACCCAGGATCGCTTGGAGCAGGAAGCCCAGCGCCATCGTCTTGCGGCGACCAATTCTGTCCGACAGGAATCCGCCGATGAAGGCGCCCGGGATGTAGAAGCAATTGATCAGCGTTCCCCAGGCCATGGTCAGAGCCAAGGACGAGGTTGGGTTCACGCGACCGACGATCGTGGACGAAAAGAGCCCGAAGGGATAGGAGATGTAATTGTACCTGTTGTGGTTGTCACCGTAAGCATGTGGATGGGGCACCAAGGTTAGGGCTGCTCACAAGAACCACGATCCACACACCCCCAGCAACGGCCGCCAATATTTCTTCAACGCAAGCGTATAAGGTATCCGTTGCTCAACCATGGCACTTTTCCTGTACGCCGAGCTGACCGCCATGCGATAGCGGAACCAGAAGATCGACAGCGGCGGGATAGCACCCAGCGCCAGAGAGATGCGCCACACCGCGTTGTAGTGTCGCACCTGCTGATGGAAACACAGCAACAGGAGCAAGGGAACCAGGGCGCCGAATGCGAAGCCCAACGACGCGGAGAGATCGGCGATCATGGCGAAGATGAAGCCGCGCTTGCTTCGAACGGCGGATTCCTCGTCTGTTGCTTCGGCTGCGCCGGCGCCGGCTACGGGATATTCCCTACCAGCTCATGTTAGACCTACCTCGCAGTAGATATGCTTGCAAGCAAGGAACACTCACCCCCCAGCACCCACCCCCGCAATCCCCCGAGCAATGATCAACATCCACAGCATCCCGTCTTGACTCGTCCCACTGGCCCCAGCACTCAATGCGATGCCCACGACCAGAATGGCAGTTGTCAGGACAGCGCCGGTCTTGCGGCCCAGCTTGTCGGAGATGTAGCCAAACGACAGCATCCCGATGATCATCCCGACCATGAAAGCATTCGACAACCGCGACGCGACAGCTGTGGTCAGAGCGTTGGGGTAGATGACCCCCATGATGAGTTCGAGGTTGCCGATGATAGATGCGTTGAACCCATCGGAGCCGATGGCGAGCCCGGAAAAGATCACCATCAGGACAATTGATAGTTTTGAGGCTTTGGGGCGCAGAGCCACCTCTGACGTGGCAGGGACGTCATGGATGCTTGCTCGAACCTTCTCTTCCTTTGCGTCGTGCTTCGATTGGGACGGCGAAGGGCGAACCTCTTCGGATACTGTAGGTGTGTCCATGGCCATCGGTTGGGGTTCAACAGCCGTAGGAGCGCCACGGTAGGTCTGTATTTATGCCTCCATCCCGGCCGTGCCGTGCCTTGGCCGACACCAGATAAGAAAGACGGTTTGGGAAGGGCTGCATGATGGTCGAGGATTGTGACCAACCACTCTGCGCGCTGAGAAGACTCGAGGCTATAGGACGGGATCTTCCCCGCACGAGAGGACGCGGCCAGAGGTGGCGGCATTAACTAACTTGGCGAGCGTGAGGGGAAGTTGCTATGATAAGATACGCTGAGGAGATAAGAGGCACTACATTGGAGAGTAGAGAACATGCCACCTTTGCCGATAGGTCTCTGGCTCGGATTGAGTCCACGGTAGTCCATCTCATTTCATGTCAACTCAGTAACCATATATCAGGCCGAAACATTGCACAGTTCTTGACTTGGTCATAGGTCTCCGCGGAGTATAAATGGTGGACACCCGTCGATGAAGATTTAAAATCTATGCAAAACACAGCAAAGGTTCCATTTACATGGTGCGATGCCATTAGCTGTTCAACTAAGTTCGGGGCACCCAGTCCTGATTGTCTGGTAGCAAACATCGCGTGTATCAGACCGGTGTGACAACATACGTCTCCCCAACCTTCGTCCTGACTGGCCCCGTGTAACCCTGCCCGTTAATCGCAACCGAGGAGCCATTCATACACCGCAGCTGCAACTCCCCACCAGCACGCGAGGTGATATTCGCATGAACCAACTTCCCCGCCTCCCACTGGATGTCAACTACAAAGTTGCCCCTGGCCACCAACCCCGCCACTGATCCCTTGGGTAAGGCAGATGGCAAAGCCGGCAGCAGATGAGTGATCCCAGCATGGCTCTGCAATAGCATCTCCGTGACGCCACTCACGAACCCAAAGTTGCCGTCAATCTGGAACTGGTATGGGCCGACCGGGCCTTCATTGGTGTTGTACAAGTTATAGGGAGTGGGGTATACCGCAAACCATTGGGTCAGTTGCTCCCACGCGTCATCACCGCGAAATACCCGGGCATACTGATTGATCAGCCAGGTCCGAGACCAGCCGGTTGTCCCAGACCGGTGGGAAACACGTCGGTCCAGGAGCACTTCGGCCGCAGTCCCAAGGGTGCTGTTCAACAGCGGGCTGAATTGCCGACCGGGCATCAGAGCCCACAGGGGTGAAAGGTGCTTCTGCCCGATGGCCTTTTCTTTGTACTCCTTGCGCCACTCCAGGATCTGTCCTAACGAGCCGATCAACGGGGGCTGGATGAGGGGCAAAAATGCTTTGGCCGTTTGCACTGCTGTGCCGTTTATCCCTAAGATCGAGGCTGCATCTAAAAGGCTTCGAAACACCTCGGTCATCAGCTGGTTGTCCATGGCGGGGGCTACGTCGACGCTCTGCGCCGCGCCAGCGACAGTCTCATCAGCAGGAACATAGAAGTTATTCTCCGGCGATAGAGATGGCCCCGTGACTTGGTAGCCCTGGTAGGGAAAGGTGTAGCACTCGTAGAACGCAGCAACTTTGACGAAGAACGGATATGCCACTTCGCCGAGGAATGTTGTATCCCCGGTGAAGCGATAGTGGTCCATCATGTGCCACGCCAGCCACGCAGCCCCCATCGGCCACATGGTGGACGCAGTGTAGTTGTCCGTTGGCGCAGGGTCTCCCCACAGATCCAGGTTGTGATGGAACACGGTGCCAGGACAGCCATACATGCGTTTGGCCAACGCCTGTCCACGAGCATCGGCAACTGCCATCAAATCAAACAAAGGTTCCTGCGTCTCAATCAAATTGGTCGGTCCGGCGGGCCAATAGTTCATCTCAATGTTGATGTTGATGGTGTATTTGCCTCCCCACGGAGCTGATGTGGAGTTATTCCAGATACCCTGTAGGTTCGCTGGAAGCGATGTCGCATTGTCTGTACTGCGCGATGAAGCAACGAGTAGGTGTCGACCAAAGTTGAATATTAGCACAGTCAGTTGTACGTCGGCAGATGTATTGCGGGCAATGCTGATGCGCTGGTCGGTAGGAAGACTCGCCCACCCATTTGGCGACGTGCCCAAGTCAAGTGTAACCCGGTCCAAGAGTGATTTGGTATCAGCAACAGCTGCTGCTCTCACAGCGTCATACCCAAGCGTGTAAGCATTGTTTATCTTCTTGCGCATCTCCTTCTCTCGCGCATCTCGTGATGTATATCTGAAGTTGGTTTCCACGTCGAAATACATCTCCAGGGTTGTTGCATTGTGTATGAGTAGAGAGGAACCGGATACGTTGAACATTCCTGCAAATGTTAGCAACGGTATGTGCCTGTCAGAATGAACGTACCTGTATCGGATTTGAAGCGAGCTTCGCCCGTCCATTCAATTGGATCCTCACTCTCGGATTGTCCACTGGTGCCGATTAGAGTAAGGGTATTGTTGCCTTTGGCCACATTGGCCGAAAGCGACTTGATATCCTTGATCCGGGTCATTGTGGCGTTGATGTTCAGTGCTCCCCGTCGGCTGGCCTTAAATCGCGCCACCAGAACACCTTGCGGGTAGCTGGCGACATACTCTCGGCTGCGAAGTCAGGTATCAGTGACAAGTTGCATGAAGCACCTCTTGTTGAAAAGCTTACGTATAGTTCACCCCGTTTATACTGTAGCTTACCCCGGCAATTCCTTCCTTCGTGTCAAGCCAACGGAGATAATTTGACATGTCCACATCAGGATGGCCGAAGTCCAGATTGACGTTGCCAAAGTAGCTGTAAGCCCGCGGCGAGTTGTTGGTTGGGATCATCTGGGCCATGGTCAAGACGTTACCTTCAGTAATGTTGCCATTCAGCAGAAGCTCCCGAACAACAGGCTCGATTTCCGTCGCATTGAGTGGTGTCCGATCCTGAAAGGGCCCCGTCCAGATGGAGTTCTCATTGATGCCGACGACCTCTGCTCCGCCACCATAGATTGTCGCTCCGATTCGACCATTGCCAATCGGCATCCCTTCTTCAAAGGTAGGCCATCGGCCGGGTTGGGTGAACCACATGTATCTGCTGCCATCGAGGGCAGCACTCACATGAGCGCATGCAAGCGAAAGAAGTAGGAGTGCTCCACAGGACATGCTGTGAGCTCTTGTCGATCCAAATTGAGGTCAAAGCGCTGCGGCCATCGCATCGGTCTTCGAAACATCCAATCAATCATTTATATACCATCAAGGTGAGCCCGTATTCTCGCAGCTACCCGGAGAGAATGTCGAGTTGCGGTAGGTGGACTAACGTAACCCCGCAGTACTCCTGGAGATTCGACATACTGAAACATGCAGGGTTTGTGCAATTTAGGCTGAATCGGGACAACCCCATCCGGTGCGATCGGCGGGGGCGGCGTGTCCTGATGCACGGATATGCTGTCCCTGCAGCACTTGCCCCGATCTATGTGCTACCACACCAGGCCCACGTCTGCTCATGCTGTGTTGATTGTGGGCTCAGGGATGTTGACCCTGTCACATGAGTCTGGTTTGAGGGGCTGCAGCTCGCTCAGAAAAGCATGAACGGGCCGATCTCGCTCTCATTCTCCCGAGCATACCTGATCCATTGCCCCATACCCCAGTAGTCCGGTCGAGCCCAGAGGGCCCGTAAGAACTGCAGCACAGTGTGGTTACACCATGCGCCCGTCGCGGCGATTAGCTCCACGAAGGCTCTCTGGATTGTGCTTTGTCTGTGCTCATCGCCCCAACATTCGGTACCCACAATGAATAGGGGGAAGAACAGTACATGCGAGAATACATGCGAGGTGTCTTTCACGAGGCCTTGAAGGTCTTGGAACAGGATGGACAGGTGGAGAGTGATGGCCCACTCTGCATGTCCGCGTGGCGCCAGGGCTTGTTCAACATAAATTAGAATAGCATAGTAATGAGCTTTCACCATAGCATTGAAGTGGATGCGGGTGGCCTCATCATGCCGCGAAGCAGAAGCCGCAGTGACACAGACCTGCCTGTAAGCTTGTTCCACTCTTTCTCGCCACATGCCCATCTCGTGCTCGCCAAGCCCGTACCCCTCGCCATGGAGCTCATAGTTGGAACGCTCCACTGCGGTAATTTCACTAATCAGAATCGTAAAGGCCCAGAGACGGTCTTCGGGCCTTGACTGCAGGGGGCATTTGGTTCTGGGTTGCTGCGTCGAGAAAGACACGAGATTCTTGAAGATCTCGAAATCTTCCACCTCTTTGACAACGAATCTCGACAAAGCATCGTTGGACTGCCGGCCACTGTTTCGCGACTGGTTCCATTCTATCATCGCACGGCACGCTTGCAGGTGCACATTCCAATTTGTGGACTCTGGGATTAACATCTCTTCGTAGCAGAGGGCGACTGCCGTGGCAAGGATGATTGTGAGGGCGGAACACCCGCCGCCTCCGGCCACGGTATCCTTCCGAGGATGGTGACTGACTTCGCGGGTGATGGCTTGATTCAGAGCCTGGAGAGTGCAGTTTCTTAGAACAGGGTAGGCTCTCTGTGCCACAAGTGCCTGTGCGCTGCCAGGGGCGGATGTAACTGACAGGTGAGCGGCTGCAAGGCTAAGGAGCGACAGTCGGAGAGAGGCGGAGCGACAGGTAAGTGGAAGAATGGCCTTCCTCCACGGGTTATCCACACTATCCAGCCAAGTCAAACGAGGAACCACGATAACGTGAAAGTAGTGGAGCAGTTTGTCGCAGAAGGCCGTCGACGAGTGGTGTTGTACGAGAATATGATCACCGGTTGGAGACGGGGCGCGCCAGAGAGCATCCTGCGATGACTTCGCATCGGCCTCGGGGCGGATTGCGACCGCCAGCTCATCTGATAACCTTTCCGCTGTTGTGCTGGTGTCTTTGATGGAAGAACTAGGCTTATGGGTAATCGTCTGGGTCCATTTAAGCTGAAAGGCGTCGAAGCCGGGACAGGAGAGATTGCGGGAGGTGCACTTGTGACAGTGAGGGAGAGTGCGGTCGCATCGGATGCGCCGCTTGGTGCAAAGGCGACAGTCTGCGGCATTCGTGCTCGTGTCAGGACGAAGAGTTCAGCAGTGGATGGGCTGGAACAATCCAGAAAGCAGGAACACTCACCTTTGGATGCGAGTGAGCGATCAGAGGGAAGAGAAGTGATGCGAACGTTTTTCATTTCGCCAAATTGGTGGCCTCTGCAAGGAGAAGAGGGGGAGGAATGCTCAGGCTGACAGAAAAGCATCAGCCGGACGGAGTAGGAGAGGAGGACTCAGAAACAACAATCACAATCTCCCCGGTCGGCGATAAGCACACGCCGCGGCCCCCCCGCACGTGCCGCCCAAAGGGGAATAGTGCTTAGTGCCTGAGGCATGCAGGCAGGAACCCAGAACCTGCTCGTTCTGGGGTGATTATTGGTACAGTACAAAGAATCCTACCCCTACTAGACAGGATTCACACCACTAGTTCATCTTCCTCTTCTTCCGACCAAAGTAGCGTGACGTATCTCCCAAATACAAGTCCACAATCGAGTCTTGCAACAGTAAATGCAACACAATATACCACCCGACTAATCCGGCCACAAAGCACGACGCGCCTCCGGTCTTCTTCAGCGCAATTGCAGCCGCATGGTGTCCGTCCGCCTCGGCAAAGTAGCTGGCAGCCACGGTCAAGAACCCCAGGTCCACCAGGAAGAACACGGCAATATAGGCGAGATTGCTGGGTAAGGAAGCAATGAGGAAGGTAAACACGAAGACCGTCCAAAGAATCATGAAGAACCCTAGCGCATTGTTGTACTGCACAGTATCGCCGCCATATGCTTGCTCAATTCCGAAAGCCGGAGTCAGGATGGCTCCATACCCTGCATAGAAGAGTCCTTCGCTTAATTAGTATATATTGCACTTGTGGTGGGTCCGGCCCGGTTGGGATGATACTCACCAAATGCACTAAACACAGTGTAGGCAAATCCATTCCCGATGGAGAGTTCCCACTGGGCCGTTACCACCAGGCCAAAGGCCGCAATAAAGAAGAAGTTGGCAACAAAGACGTTGGTCGTGGTCACTCCACGCCATTCCATCAGGCTCAACGACAGCGTCGTCAATGTCGTGCCGAATGCGCCCAAGGCGAGAGCCGACTGCACGATGGTTAGAACCATAGCTTTTGGATGACGGGCGTGACCTACTCCGGCGCCTAGAGACTTCACTGGCTGGGACTCGTCCAGATGGTGGGAGCCTTGTTGCTCTATGTCCACTGCCGATGAGGTTCCCTTGGCTTCGGTGGTGATGTGGTCGATTGAGTCGGTAACAGACATAGTGACTGATGTCCACAGCAAGGTGGGTGATTTCGATCGTTGTGTTGGTATGGCTTGGGCAACGACCACCTGCGGCTACTTCAAGTATATGTAGCCACCAGTACCGGTATGAAGACTTCACGTCCCATGTTGCGGTTTAGCACATCATTCGTAACTGCAATGACGAGAGATGAACAGACGATCTATCCTTGGTAGTGAATCAAGTCGATTGACACTTGGGGGTCTAGGGATGAGAACGGATTCGCTAATGTGGTCTTCCGGCCCAATACGTGTGCAATGTATACATCGCATTGGAGCTGTCGGCCGATACCGATCGCCTAAGAAAGTCTCGGATGAGGTGCTTGGCTGAATTTCAGGGCAGATTAAGCTTATTTGCCCGCCCTCGGTCGCCCTCCCGAAATTCGCTTCTGCAATGCTGCAACTTGAAAATGCTAAGCCTTCGATTTGCGACCGACGCATCCTCTTTTCGTGTCCGCCGTAGAAAGAAAGACCAAAAGTGATCGTGAATGGTGTGCTATACATCTGTGCGTGCTGGGCTCCTACTTCGTGGACATGGAAACCAGGGGCGATCTTTGCCCGGATCCTTGGGGAAGGTACTGTACTCAGCGTAGGCGGGAATTGCGTGCTCTAGAGCCGGCTTACCTCATCCCATGCAATCTTGAGCTAGCACCAAGCAGTCTGCAATTCATCCATGTCACCACGTCTTACCTCAAGACGAACTTCCAAGATCGCTTCCATTGCAATGACTTCTTCAGAGAACCTCCTGTACACGAACGGGACTCCTGACGGAGAGACAGGGCCACAGCCTCGGCTTTTATCGCCCGGCCATGTCTTATCGGCCTGATCGTCCCGTTGCAGCGGAAATGGCCTGACTGTCGCCTTACTTAAACTTCATCCTAGGTTAACAGTCATTGTGAAGAATATAATCAGTAAATCTCTCTGAAGAGGTATGCCTAAGTAGCACTACGTCAGATCAGCGCGCGGTGTGCCTTGCAACGATCATCCATCTTGATGCGCTATGGCCTAACACTATACGGAAGGGAATATATATCTTGTTCTCGGAGGAAGCCCACAACACCCAACCGAAATAAGGGGGGCATTATGATAAAGCTCAGGAATGGATGATATCGAATGATATCCTGATTCTGGGTGGTCAGATGGTTGGTCAAATTAGCTAAGTTCTCTGCGTGTAAACAAGCCTAGTGAGTCGCCTTGGATCACGTGGCCGGATCACCCAGGAACGCCGACGGGTTACTGGCAGATGGTCGAGAAGTAGAGACCTGACCAGGTTGAATAGGTATATATAGAAGTCCGAGATATCTTAGGAAAACACTTATGTATCCGGTCAGTTGAGCGACTGAGCAGATAGTTTGGGCAGGCGAGACTCAACCCCGGGCCCGCGGACGCACCTACTGAAGTCGGACGGAGCGAGGACAACTGCCAATGGGAACGCGATCAAAGAACAAGCCCAGACAGAGGGGTCTTGGCATTGTAAGTTCCAAGCTGTGCCTGGGCGAGCCCATCCTCGAATAGAGTCCCAGGCTCTCAGCTGCAAGTGGAGCAGAAGTGACGGGATTTGAGGGCTCCACCAATCACCGGTACCTAGGCAACGCGGCGATATTCTTAGCATCGACCGACTTGGCGCTAAACAAGTTAGGACGGGAAAAGTGGCCCACCAGCAAAAGTGGAGGGGAGAAATCGTTCAAATCTCCCCTCGAGCCAGATGGTCTCCCTGATGGTCTCCAGGTTTTGTCTCTACCCCACACAATAGGTGGTCGGTCATGTCAGATTTGATGGCCTCATAGGGAATCATGACTATTGGGGCGCGGTGGGGAGGACAAAAGAGTCCGTCTGTCCAGACTGCCGATCTGGGAGACTCCCAAATTCGGAATTGGTCGTCTGTGGCTGGTTCAAGTTATCCAACCTGGAGTCCATCTCGCTCGTTTTCTATGCAGCGTATAACCGGACAGAGGAGAAATCGAGGTGGGATATCGACGCGAGTTCAGCGCCCACCGGGTCAAGAATGGATGCAAGGTGCTTTGCTCTGTGCTTACATTGCCACGGCGATTGCAAGTGTGAATTTTATCTTTATCCTTATCGCGATGGGAATCGGCTATTCCAAACGAACCACCGCGCACAGCTTCTCGCGACTCCGACTGTACCACGGTCACTGTAATCGAACCAGTCACTGGGCGACCGCCATCCACATCATCATCAACCTCTTTTCCACTGCCCTACTAGCGGCCAGCAGCCATGCCATGCAGTGCGTGGGAGCCCCCACCCGCGAAGATGTGGACCAGGAACACAAGCAGCGCCGCTGGCTGGATATTGGAGTGGTGAGCTGGCGCAATTTCCGCATCATGAACCCTAAGCGGAAAGTCCTGTGGCTGTTGCTTCTTCTCAGCTCAACCCCCATCCATATGCTGTGTGTCAATAATGCCCGTGCCCTATTCCTAACCACGCTTTTTCGTATCCCGCACTAACCTGCGTCTATACAGCTACAACTCCGTGGTGTACGCCTCGATCGTAACCTACAACTATGCCATGGTCTTGATCCCGGACGATCTGTCTCCGACCGAGTCGCTGGTCCAGGCGAACCATTCGGCCAGCTTCTATGCGGCAGTGGGGAGCACCCCTGAGGCGATTCGCACCGAGATCTTCAATGGGACTTTCACCAACATGACCAACGAAGAGTGTCTCGACAGCTACGATGTGCAATATAACACGCAACAGTCCACCCTGATCTTTGTGGCCGACCGACGATTTTTCCAGAATCAAAGCAGCTTTAGCGCGATGATGGACGGCTATACCTCCATTTACGACTACGCGAATGACGAAGGGACTGCGGTCGCTGAAGCCGCGATAGCGAACAATACGTGGACAGCGCAGGGGCTCAGCTGGAATCTCTACTCGTCTGCCATCGCATACGAGAACCCTGATGGGTTCCCCCAAATCCCGATTTCCCACTGCATGGCCAAGCGTGCAGTCCAACGATGTGAGCTGCTTTTCAGCCCGTCGATCGCCCTTGCAGTGATTGTCAGCAATATCGTCAAGGTTGTATGTATGTTCTTGGCCGCTCGAACGAACCGTCCAGGGATCTTACTGCGAGTGGGCGACGCCGTCGCCTCGTTCCTCAACCAGCCTGATCTCACTACCCAGGACCGTTGTCTCATGTCGCGGGAAGATATGACCCATGGTCCTGACCCCTGGGAACTCGCACCTAGTAGTGGGAGTATCTTTCGGCGCTGGCTGTGTTCCCTGCGGTCGCAGAGAACGATGGACATCGCTTTGGTGAACATCTCCACGAATAGCTCCACCTCCCCAAGTGAAGGGGTGTTGGAGGGACATCGTCCCAGGAAGTTGTCCGGTCGGAAGTTCTGGTTCCAAGCTGCGAGTTGGAAACGATGGGTGCTTGCTCTCTTCCTGTCAGTCTTTCCCGACCCAATGACTTGGATTTAGACCCTAACATAATCTCCCCAGGTTCTCCGCCTGTATCGGCGTGCCCAGCTGGCTGTATCACGCCCTCGTCACCGAAGCAGAATGGTCTCTGGAAGACCAGTGGTACCTGGGATTTGGGAGTCCGAACTACGAAACCGGGCTATATTTCGGCACCAGCAACATCCTGGCCCTGGCTCTCCTGACCAACTCCCCCCAACTGGTGTTTTCCATCTTGTACTTCGTCAGCAAGAACCTGCTATCGTGCATGCTGGTCACGGCCGAGTACAACGACTATGCGACGCAGCGCAAGCCTCTCCGCGTTTCTTGGCCCCGGGTCCACCAACGATCCTCCTACTACCTCTCCTTGCCGATCCGATACAGCGTCCCGTTGTTTGTCATGTCTGCCGCCCTGCATTGGCTCCTCACCGAAAGCTTCTACTCCGTCGACTGGAATGTGTACAACGTGTTTGGGGAGGTCGATTACGATGACTCCCCGGATGGATGTGGCTTTTCCCCGATGGCAATTCTAATGACTATCATCCTCCTCGGGGTGGCGTTGTGCGCACTGCTGCTGCTGGGTGCGCGTCGCTTCAAGTCTCCCATGCCGTTGGCGGCGCATTGCAGTGCCGTCATCAGTGCTGCTTGTCATCCCCCGCCCGAAGATGAGAGCGCTGCTTTCCAACCGGTCATGTGGGGGGAGGTCAGTCATCCCCAGAACGCCACCCATGGTCATTGTACCTTTACATCACATGCAGTGGCTATCCCCTCCATGTCCCGTCTATATACTTGAATGATCTAAATTGTGCATCTTTTGGAATCTCTCTTCTTGGCCCATTCGAGAAGTCAAACCCTAAAACCTACCGTCTAGATGACTGGAATTGGCTTATTCCAGTCCCTCAGCTCTTCCTGCCGACCCGACGGTGTCATATCCATGAGAAAATAGAAAGACTGGATTCCCTCGACCCCTGGGTCCGATGTCTCGTATGTGTGACTGATGAACACGCTCCTCCCGCAAACCTACTACTCGGCTTCCAGGTGATGGTTTCCCTCCTCGCTTCCCCTTGCTCCCACACCTGGTGTGCCTTGGTCAAAATGAGAAATTGGAACAGCAACCAAGGTGGTGTCTCTGCTGTGCAGGTATTGAAATGGAGGAGCATGGCCCACGCCGAAGGCATGGGCGATACTGCTGCGACTGTCGTCCTCGGCCGCCAGCATCACGTGGTAGACAATCAAGTCTTAGAAGAGTTGACCGTGGACACACAAGGCCACGTGGCTGTGGGGTTTCGTGATAGCGAGATTGATGATAACTTGGATTTTGATCCCTGTGAACGATGTCAAGGTATTTTGGGATGTCTTCTACTCGGACTAGAACCGGATGTATACCTGAAGCTTTGGCGAGAAGTCAGGGAAGCAACACTCCGATCACCTTTGACTGAGCACGGAAGATGCAGTACCTGCGATGGACCATCAAGGAACGTCTCCGCCTGCATGCAGCAACCGGGCTGCCCTAGTGGCGGGGTTTTGCCGGCCAGAAACCACAGTGGCCGGGATATTCTTCCCAGAGAAGGTGAGTCGCTACCTAAGGTCCGGTCCAACATTCCGAATCATGCAAAATGAATACGCGATGAAATTGATAGTCGGCATTAACAGCTGGGTCGCTCATTACAATCCGCAGGTGTATGGGACAGGCGCGACCGTATTTCGACCCGAGCGCTGGGATCCCACCCACATGGACAAGGAGCGGCTCAAGCAAATGGAGCAGTATTCCCCCCCCTTCGGAGCTGGGACACGCCCGTGTATTGCAAACAACATCTCAATTCTGGAGATTACCAAAGTCATCGCGGAACTCGCGAGACGATAGGATATCAAGCCGGTATCGCAGGGGATAAACACTGTCAATCATTGGTTCGTAAAGCAGAAGGATGTCATGGTACACTTGCGGCAAGTAGAGCGGTAAACCGGGTCGGGTCAAGTGCTCCTCAGCGTACTGGTGGAGCATGACCAGGGAGATCCATGGTTCCTGGTAGGCACAATTCATCGCATGTCTATTCTAGGGTCCGCAGTCAGGCGCTTCCGTCATGCTTGACTTTTTTCCACAGGCAGAGTAATGGAATCATGGTTTGTCCTTGCTATCATGGCCATCCATGGTCACCGGGAACAAAGATCAGTCCATTTTGCCACACAGCATCACTACCCGAAACAAAAGCGACCGAAGTAACTCTGCCCGTCGTGCTACAAGATGCAGAATACCTTGAGCGGTTATAAAACAAAGCTTGGCGGTTAGTACGAGGCCGATGGCTGACCTGGTACGAGGAGGAGAACAAGCTTGTCAAAAGGCACACTTGTTGAAACGAGCTCCCCCGATACTAATTATCTTTAAAATGAAAAATATCCGGTTTTGGCATGTAGTCCCCGATATTGTCTACTTATATTACGGAGTACAAGCACTGGCTGGCTTCACCGCCTGGGACAGAAGCAGACCCATTCCGGAACATGGCCATTCGCCGCGGATAGTGATCATTCTACGCAGATCAGGTTTACCTGTCGGATGATAGGTGTTTGTCTGAAAACAAGAACCTTTACCCTTCTATATTCACCCTTATCATCAATAGGACTAGCCTACTATAGTCTAGAATGGATCAGCTGTCACGGGCTAAACATCTTCTTTCCCGACTTGCGCTCTCAGCTCTTGCCACGTGTACCCCACCTTTTGAGCCAGTTCAAGAGCGCCCTTCCCTTCGCAGAGCTTGACAATCTCGCCATTGAGATAAATCGAGGTCTCAGCGCCCCTGAGGATCAGAAACTTCATGAAGAAAGCAGCCGCCACGGAGGTCTTTCTCGAAGCTATATACAACGCAGTCTGGCCGTTGGCAGCGTGGTGATTGATCTTCGCTGCCACCTGCAATAGCTGTTCTCCCAGGGCAACTGAGCAGCTTGATCGGGCAACGCGCACGAGGAGAGTGCCTAAAAAATTTACCGGGAGGTATGGCCCCAAGCGGCTGAGGAGGCGTTTGACCCTGGCTTCCTTTAGCTCGTTGCCTTGAATTTCTGTGAACAAGGACTGCCGAAAGAGGGTCCACTCCCACCAATGCAGTCTTAACTTGGGATCAAGATCTGGGTTCTCTATCATTGTGAGAATCATCTGTTCCCATTGTCCGAAAATGCCTTCCGACCTCGTTTTCAGAACCGCTGACATCATGGATGGCAAGTCATCGACTTTAAGGCTCTCCAACGCCCATGCGCCGAAATCGTCTTGGTCGCTGGTGACAGCGGCGATCCGAATCTTTATTGGTACGGCGCCCCTTTCTTCGCTGGCAGGGGCTAAGAGCTCGGTCAGGGCAAGCGACCCCTGCTCGGCTGCCATCAGCCTGGCATGCGCAAGGACTTCCGACTTGAGCTTCTTGCCAGCTGGGGAGGAGATCAGATGCCGCACACGGTCAACCTGTCCCTCACTAATTAAAACAAAGAGCAGGGGCTGGGCCTCTTCTTCATCGAGAGCGTCGAAAGTGGCGTCGTTGTCTCCTGCTGCTTCTGAGCCGTGTGTCTCCAGTGCGGAGAGAACATGATACTGTTTCCAGTGTTGATCACGTCTCATAGTGGTGTGAAAGCCGATGGTGGAAAAATCGCAGCTTGGGACGAAACATTTCCATGGCCGGTCATGATTCTGAACATGTTGATCGCGCTCGTCGGTCGTGGCAAACCCGCGCAGGCTCCGCTTGCAGAAAAGGTAAGTGCATCGAAAGAGTTGCGAACCATAGTTCCGTTCCATGTCTTGTCGGCATTCGGACTTGGCGAGTAGGGCCTCATGCTGTCTCTGCAGCCGTAGCCACATCTGAGAAGTAACTAGAGGATCCTTGTTGACCCACGACGCGCCTGTTTGGGATCGAATTTCAGTTGACAATGCTTGAGCATAAGGCATTTGCAAACAGCCAAAAAGCCTTTATGGCTTACCATTCTTCCGATTCCAGTCCCATCGTTTCTCGCAGGAGTAAAACGCTCTTGCATCCCCTGCAAAATTACGCGCTCGCCGATACGCCACAATTTCTGTGTTTGCTTCTGAAAATACACGTTCAACACGACCCCAGATTTGGTTTTGGAAGTTTTCCGGATTCTCAAGTCGCTGCGATACTTTATCGAGTCGGCCAACGAGCGGGTCATTTACCTTAACACCAGCGTCCTTCCAGTCTGAGGGTAGAGTGCTAGATAGTAAGACTGGCCAGTAAAAATTTGCATAGTCAAAAAGCCGGAATCGACCCCGCAGAATCTGCTCTTGAATCACCTCCTCCTCTACCTCAAGATCAACGATCCCTGACATGAGATATGCCAGCAAACAATCGAGAAGATTGCGCCTCGCAATGGCCTGATTTATGAAGAAGGGAACTCTCTCACTGAAAATGTATCTGCCACGGATTGTCAGTGAACATGTCCTATCTCACCTAATGAACGCGGACTTCTCCGGCTCCAGACTTACACCACGGCCGTGAAATGAACAAACTGGAGCTTTTCATCTGCAACCTCGATTATTGGACCGCAGAGTTGAACAAAGTCGACACTCAAGAAGTCTTGTGAACTACTTTGATCACGGGATGTTCTTTCGACATCATCAACCTCTACTGACAAAGCCTGTTCCATTTCCCGAGTGGTCAAAGGAATGGGCGCAGTACCGAGCCAGCCCAGGATCTTCCTACATTGATCTCGCTTTCGGTGACTCAAGTCGTTGATTCTTTGGAGGATGCGGTGATATCTGGGCACGCACGGGTTTAGAATGTGACAGGCCCCATATTACTTAAACAACTCGATGAAATGAGCTATCACTCACGCCGTATTGAGATCTTCGGGCAGAGCTCTGAGCTCCCGGCGAATATCGTCCATCCTGGTAATGCTCTGTAAGTTGTCCAACACGATTCGTGCATATAAAAACATGCCTAGACATGGCCTCCCCTCAACTTCCAATTAGCGCCATGATACACCGATAGAGGAGGAACTCAATTGGAATGGCAACCACCAGACTTAACTGACCTTTTGCCTTGGCTGCCAGCGGCGACAACAGAACGCCAATCTCAGTCTCCATGGTGGGGAGACATTCCAGGCCATTGATCCAGCTACGAGCGCGGTGGTTGATATAATGCTGGATGCTACCTGCATTTCGATCATGGACATTGATAGTGATAGCCTTGCCATCGAGTCTCCGGAAAATGTCCCCTTCGGGACGACTGCCGATGAGGATGCGCACTCCGGGACACCCCTTGACGAGGTCCTCCAACCGCTCCAGCAGCACCTGTCGCTCGTACTCCTCTATCTCATCCAATCCATCAATGATGATCCGGGTCTGGTCGGCGGTTCGAAGGAAGGCATTCAATAGCTCGGTCACCTGCAGTGTGCTCCCACGCAGTTCGCGTTCTTTGGCTTCCAGAAGCACGGCTTGCAGGTCCGGCTCCTCGTCGGCTGCCTGAAAAAGCATCGACTGTAGCACCTTGAGGGCCGTGGAGGTATCGTTTGCACAGTGGCTTATAACCGCGAAAAGACATCGCTGATTCTTGTCGCGAAACTGCCTCACCGCGGCCGAGCACAGGTAGGACTTGCCCGCCCCTGGCATGCCCTGTAGCCAGAGCCATGGATTGGTGGGGGGTGTCGTATCATCTGCCCACTGTTTGAAAGAGGAATCCTGAAAGAGCCACTTCGCACAGCCTGGGACGGACCGGTTTTGGATCCAGTCTAGGCGTTCGTCGAACGATGCTGGTGCGATCCGCCCCTTGAGATCCGTGTAACGATGCCGATCTTGTAGAGTCTGGATTGCCGCCAACTGCTCAAGCGACTTCAAGCGAGCCTTTTGGGCTTCTGTGACATCGACAAGCGTAACCTCGTCTCTTAACAAGCTCGCATGCAACTCGATGTTGCCAACTACCGAGTCCAGCTTTTTTTGGTAGCTTGGCCAAATCGCCTCAAACACTTGTTTCCAGCCTGACATAGAAAAAGAGGGTCAGCCTAGCATGGTAGGATTAAGGTGTATTGGTCAGTTGAGTATTTGACTCACGGCGCTTCCGGAAAAAGTCAAGGTTGACTCGGTAGAAATCGAGGAGATCCCCATAAAACAGGGCTAGAGCGGCGCGGATGGCATCACTCCATTCAAAAGCCCCTAGAACAGTGGCAAACTGGGGGAGAGCATAGCCGACCTTGACCATTGTGTCCGCCACTCGGTCAAAGGCACTGGAGAGCTGACTGGACCATAGCAAGAGCAGCTTGATCGGACCCCACAGAAGCGCCAGCTCGGGCTTCACTTGGAGAAAGGCTTCGATAACCCCGCTATAGGAAGAGAGGCGGTCGAGAAAAGGCCGAATGCGAGCGAGATTGCGAAGCGCCCCCTTCCCCGCAGCCTCCTCTTGAAGCTTGCTTGTGGCATTGTAGACTTCGCTGATAGAATTAGAGGCGAGGATTTCGCGGTATAAGTCAGGATCTTTCAGACTGTTGCGGAACGATTGCTGTGCTTGATGAAAGACCTCCAAAGCCGGGTCTTGTTGCACCATTATGTCCGTGTCTTGCCTGGGGGCTGATGGGTGGATTGGAAGAAATTGCAGGGTGAATCTGAAGGGGGGAAAGGGGCGCAATTTTAAGTGAAGCTAAACTAACAGACACCGCTTCGCTAGCGCGACACCGTTCGTTTTCTAGTATCTCAACTGCGCCACACGCTAAGCAAAGCACGAGGAGAGTGATCTTTTCCTGAAATAGCTACTCGTGATGCGCGACCTTGTTTTGAAAAGCCGCTAAAAATGGCCGCGGCTGCGCCGGACCGCTCTATAAAGTCGTTGTCATGACACCAGCTTTGGAATCGATCTTTTGCCCTTCCCCACTCATCTGAGATACATAGTATCTGCTATAGCATGAGACTCAAGGCAGCACAATGATCCATTCTAGGAAGCGAAGCCGCGCACTTCAACCTGGGGACAGAGAAACCAAGAAAGCAAAACGCCAATCAGACGCGGCTACAGCCACTGTATGCGAGGAGATCATTGACCTGACGCTAAATGATACTGATGACGGCAACGATACACGGGGTTGCGCCGCGAGCGCGCCAATAGCAGAAGCAACGACTGCAATATCAGACGACAGAAGTGACCCCGATCGCTCAGCTTCTTCGAGCCTAGTGATAAATTTGACTGATATTTGTTTCGGAATGGTAAGAGGCGCGTGACTGCTGTGAATATCCTAACAACCGCTGGCTGACAGACCCTCCGAAGCTCACTATGCGAGCGACGGCCTCTGATGACGGACGCCTTCCAGAGATGTGTACGGCGGCAAATTTATCCTTTCAGGGCGACCTGGTTCGAATCCACTTGGAAGGGGTGGAGAGGAACGTGGCTATTCTTGTCTGCAAGCCGCTGCCGCTCCTGCTGAGCCGGTTTGCCATCACGCTGCAGGCGACGATCTGTGGTCGAGCACCAAAGGCCAATAATGAGAAGGTGAAACACTCAAAAGGCAAAACTGCTAGCAGCCCAAGTATGAGGACGGGCGTCAGGTTCTACTCACTTCGGATACTCCTCTATGGTTCGATTTCCGAAAAGGAGCGAGTAGGAGAATTCCTAGCCGCGGAGGCCATGTTTTTGCAACATCCCCATGCATCCGAGATCAAGTGCGGCGTGCGATATCTGAATCCCCAGTACCTACTCCCACCGGGTAGTGAGACTATGCCGTCGCCCGATCAGCTCTCGATCTCGACATGCTGTGTGGGCCGTGAAAGGCCAGGGCCGGATGTACTGAATGATGAGGAGAAGAACGCGATCTATCGGGTTTTCAATACTACCAACGCTCCAGGGGATATAAAAATAGACATTGAACCTAGTCCCCGGCTTACCACAGCTTTGAAGAGGTCTGATGTCATTTTTCGCGTTTCTTCTCTTTACTCTTCATTCTCATTTTCTCTCTTTGGACACACTATAAGCTTATATCATCGCTAACATATAACACAACAGGCACCAAGTTGAGGCCCTAGTTATGATGATCGAGAAAGAGGAAGGGATCTTTGAGGGCGCACAGTTTCCCTCCATGTGGTTACCCTTTAGGGGGCCTGACGGCAAGTTCCGGTAAGAAATAGGAACCCAATGCAGCTTCCATAATCAAGGCATTGACTGCCAAAGATATCAGAATATTGTTACCAAGCTGTTCGAACTTGAACGTCCAGTTTCTGTCCGCGGTGGGATTTTGGCAGATGTAATTTCTCCCCTAGCTCTTTGTGCCCGATATGCTTCTGACTACATACAGGAAATGGGATTGGGGAAGACACTGTCAAGTCTTGCGCTCATTTGCCACTCACTGGACCGGCGGGAACAGGCTGCCCCACCTAGTATACCACGAGGAACACTGGTCGTTACTCCCAAGTCAAGTATGCTACAGTCAGGGCTCAGAAAATGCCCGAAGTCTCGCAAGAAGCATGGCTGACTCACAACAGCAATACACGGATGGGAATCACAAATCGCGCGGTACGGTCCCTTCCCTGATTCTTGACCCTCTTGCGTTCGAAAATGGAACAAACCCTGAGATAACTATTTTAAGCCATATCTGCCCGAAGCGAATCAAGTGGATGACCTACCATGGCAGCGATCGTCACCAATGGCATAGTACGCTAGGCGCATACGACGTTGTTCTAATGACCTATGATACGTTGAGAGCCGAGGAAGGAAAAAAAGATTCATTGCTCGAACACAGATGGGAAAGAGTCATTCTCGACGAAGGTATGCAGCCCCAGAGACCTGGCTCCCGTGACCGTGGTTGTTGGGCTTTCCCATTGACCTGCATTACTTCTGGTCTTTTCAAACTATAGCCCATAGGATACGAAACCCATTCTCAAAGACCTTCCATGCAGTCCATTCTTTACACGCCCGATACCGATGGTGTCTCACGGGAACGCCCATTCAAAACCGCCTGGAGGATTACGGTGCGCTGCTAAGCTTTATCAGGGTTCCTCCCTTCGAATCCGCCAATGCCTTCAAAGATTTGGTCATAGGTCCGGTTTTGAGCAAGCGGAAAGACAGCCTCGACCTCTTGAAAAAGGTGGTAAGTGCAACGTGCCTGCGACGAACAAAGCTGGACTATACGGCCACTCTCTGCTTGCCCCGAAAGAGCGAGCGCATCGAGCGAGTGCAGATGGAGCGTGAGGATCGGGAAATCTATGAGTTCTTCAAGCGCTTCTCCTATCTCCAGGCCGCGAAGGCCACGCCGACGAGTACAGGAGGGGCCCAGATTCTCGTACTCATCGCTCTGCTGCGGTTGATTTGCAATCACGGCGCGGCGCTGCTGCCGGAAGCGGCTCTTAAAGTATGGCGTGAACGAGATGACACATCCTTCGCCTGGAAAGCACTCGAAGCTGAGACGAGACAATGCGCGGTATGTATCCAGTCTGTCCCAGAATCCCGCTCCGATGGGTCCCAGATGGAGGAATTGGGCTGTGGTCACTGCATCTGCGAGGCTTGCGCAGCGGGCGTAAGCAAGACGCTGTGCCCTAAATGCGAAGCTACCCCTGAACCCAGCCCGTTTACGAAGGCGTCATCGCCGTTGCGGACGAGCGTTACCAACACTCTCGCCATGGAATACAAACCATCCGCTAAGGTCAAGGCTCTACTGCACAATATCACTCAACGTCGGGGCCTAGGCAATAGCACCACTGCTGCCATGAAATTGTAGGAGACGAAAGCATTCTCCCCTTATGTTCCCATTTTCTAGTCTCAGGCGTGGGCAGGATTGCTAAATGGTCTTTCACCCAGCAGTGTCGTCTTCAGTCATTGGACCAAGATGCTCGACCTCATCGCTACTGCCCTATATAGGAAGGGCCTCTCATTCTGTCGAATCGATGGACGATCTACCCTACTTCAACGAAAAGAAGCGCTAGAAGTGTTTGGCAGCGATCCTGAATGCAACATCATGCTTGCCAGTATTGGAGCGGCGGGTGAAGGGTCTGTTCTCGGACATATTTTCTTTTTTCTCCCTCTACCAAACCCACACTCAGATTGCTCATTGGCTCCTATCTTTTTCTCAAAATAGGATTGACCTCACAGTGGCGAACTCAATTCACATCGTGGAGCCCCACTGGAACCCGATGGCCGAAGCGCAAGCCATTGATCGCGTGCACCGCATCGGGCAAAAACGTGATGTGGAAGTGGTCAGGTACATAGTGCGCGAGTCGATCGAATCGGTGAGAAAAGTGGCCAATATTCTCACCCCGCCCCCCGATGCTACCCAAACGTCCAACCTCTTCCTGTGTCTACATGTGCCAAGCCTTCATTTTCGAGTCATTTCAGCATGTGAGAAGATTTGACACTAACATTCAAGTCTTCACTCTCTTTTAACAGTATGTTCAATGGGTTCAACGGGATAAACTTCGCTTGATCAACATTGTGCTTTCACCTTCAGACCGATGTACAAAGAATACCACGCAGGAACGGTGGAAAGTGAGTATTCCATTTCTCATCTTGTCTTTGGTTTACCACTCTTACTGTGCTACCTTCCGAGCAAAGAGATTAATGTATTATTTCATGGCTAGGCATTGCTCGAATACCTGGAATAGGTTACTTATATCCGGTCTGCAAGTATTTTTGTACATCGCAACAGTTGATTATTAGTCAGCTTTTACTGTAAAATAATTGGTCATTGTGCTTCTGAAGGCAGCTAATGATTCATGTTTACTGAACGCTGCAGCCATCCTCCATGCATGTCAAAGTCTGAAGGGAGGTGTACCAAAAATTAAATCTTGAGCGTATATGGATCCTGAAGGTTCCTCTTATCCTGCCAGATTTATCTCGAGCTGCAATCGGCGTAAGTGCCCTGGGGATTTAGGATACCAAATGGATGGAAATTCTATACCGAAATCTTGTTATGTGAATGAGAAAAGCGTCTTCGACTAAAATTGACCCCCGTAATTCTCCTTCAGCACAGTGAAGTGCAAATATATGAATCCTTTCGAAGTCTGCCGGCTATGTCACGACAAATGCACCATTTAGCCCTCCAAAAAGTGTTCACGGCCGTGTGCTACTATATCAAGCAAGCTGTCTGGGTGCTGCATACTCACCGCTTAAAGAACTCGGATTCCTGCAGCTCCCTTTACCACACTACTGATGTCAAAGAATATTGGACATACCACCACATGGTGTAGAAAAAGGCTTTTTCGTCGGCTCAGCTGGAAATAAGTCACACGCCAGGACTTTAGTAGTTGGGTAGCTGACCACCAGCGAGTCCCTTCCGTTGTATGTCTTTGTTTTTGATCTTATTTGTTGTTGTCCTTTGACTCAAAGCGCCCAGAGAAATACTATCATCTTCTGTAGATCTGGATCTTCGGGATAGCCTTGCTCCAAATACCTACAAATTGACTCCCCTTCCAGCACTGTGCGTGGGGTCATCCACCACACTCCCAGTCCCCTAATCTTCGCATACCAGCAGGCCAGTAACAACAATGCCCGAGGATCTTTCGCGAGCAACAGCAGCTTGAAGTTGGACGACATGGTGCTGAGAAATGTGACGAAGCTCAGGATAGTCAGCAAAGGAGGTCGATCACCGAACAGCGCCCACGCAACGTTGACGGCGACGCTACGGTATACCGCTTCAGAGTCCGACGACTGTTTTCCCGTGCCCAGATCAAAGAGCCGCAGAAACGAGGCGGGAACCCCTTGAAGAGGCGCCGGGGGTGGAGCAGGCCGATTCATGATCGGATTGTTTTCCACCGGTGCTAGAGCTGCTGAGATACTGTCTCGCGGAGCGGAGGGCATCTGGCGCCAGACTTCGTCTTTCCCTCGCGCAATCCTTAACCAAGTGGGACCGCTGACGAGATTCGGGGATAACGGCCAAGCCTCTTCTGGACTCGACGCATCGACGTGGCAGAAGACTAGTAGCCACAACAGCATGGACGTGCTGAGCAAGGCGGCTTTGTCACCAGGTTGAGGGCTCTGCGACAGTTTCCGATTGAAGCCAAACAGGGCTCGATCCCAGTGATAGAATTCCGCCCAGTCGGGGGTTAATCGGAAGGGTGTTGTTGTGTGACGCTGGTACATATAAGCTACCGTCGTGATGGCATGCTTGAGGAATGGTGTCTGGGGTGCATCAGTGGGTGATTGATAAAGTATCACTTATCACTGCCTGCTTTTAAAAAAGGCAAAAGGAAAAAGAAAAGAAGAGAAGAGAAAAGAAACGAAGGACGGAAGGGAAGAGCAAGGGAATCAAAATGATGAGCCTACCATCTGTGCCAGTTCGACCACCTGAGTTTGATATACATCCAGCCGTTTGCCATAGCTCATGGTCGGGGCGATTTGTAGTTGGAATTGGTTCATCAGCCGATCGGTCGGGCAAAGCCAAGAAGATAATCCAATCGAGGGCGAGGGCGGAGCAAAAACATGCTCGATGACGGGTTGTAGGGGCTGCGTTTTAGTCTGAGTAAAGCTAAAACTACAGGAGACACCGTAAGCCTGGCATTGCCGACACATGGGTTTGATTTCGTCGCACTGCCATACCAGCATATAGGCGGCAAATTAGCCACTGCAGTCCAGCAGAGAAGGGACACCCACCTTCACCCGTCGAAGCTTGCAGTTTTTACAGCCCCATCTTGATCGCTGTCTAGCACGAGCTGGACCCATGGCCCCAAGACCCAATCTTGTTAAAGCTGTTGTTGGGAAGAGACGAGATTGTAGATGAGTGACATCAAGGTTGTTCTCAGCCTCGCGGGGCATCGCTCTGGATCCAAGCGGGGATGCATGGCGGATGCCGGATTTTCCGGGTTTAAGCGCGGCGGATGGCGCTAGACCTCTTTTCGGTTACAGACCGTTTTGATTGGCTCGATGGTCAATACAGCTTCATTGTCGGGATCGATCAGGTCCATGATCTAATGACGTGGAAACTACTATGTCTGTGATTATATCGAGTATAAGAGCAGGTGCAAGCCCCAAGGGTAGTCGTACAGACACTCTGCTCGTTCAGTCAGTTTCTTTTTGACCCCTAACATTAATCCACTGACTGTACTTTGGCCTACCTTGCAACACTGCGGGTCGCCATCGGGATATATATCCGCGCTTGAACTTCCACCTTCAAAATGCCACCCAACCAAGCAGCTTGGCTGGTCCGTTCCAAGGCTTCTCCCTTTGAAGTCCGATCCGCTCCCTACACACGACCCCGGGAAGGGGAGATTGCTATACGGACTCACGCCGTGGCCATCAATCCCATCGATTGGACTATCCAAGGCCAAGGTACCACCCTGATGTACCAATGGCTATCTTACCCGACCATCTTGGGCACTGATGTAGCCGGAGAGGTGGTTGAGGTCGGACTGAATGTCACCACATTCCGGGTTGGTGACCGTGCTTTCGGCAAAGCATGCGGCACCGACGAAGAGATCAATTCTCACACCCAAGGGGGCTTCCAACTCTATGTCATCCTCGCGGCACATATGGCCTGTCCCATTCCCGATCCACTATCGTATGAGCAAGCTGCAGTGCTACCCCTGGGAGTCTCTACCGCCGCATGTGGACTGTTTGAACCCGACCAGCTCAACCTCAAGCCCCCATGCGCTCGCCCTGAGCTCACCGGCCAGACTGTCATCATTTGGGGCGGGGCTAGCAGTGTCGGTACCTGCGCAATTCAACTCGCTCGGGCTGCAGGATACCGAGTTTTCGCAACCGCCTCACCCAAAAACTTCGAGCTGGTGAGACAGTTAGGCGCCAGTCGGGTGTTCGACTACCGGAGCCAGACGGTCATACCAGACATGATTGCCGCCTGTCAGGGCGAGACTGTGGCGGGAGCACTGACTGTAGGGGCCAATGGAGCAGATTGCTGTTTTGATATTCTCGCTCAATGCACCGGGCCCCGATTCATCTCCATGGCTGCCTATCCAGTGCCACAGCCGCCTCCGGCGCATCTCACGGTTCCTCGTACGGCGCTCGCATTCATGGTCGGAAATTCGAAGTACTGGTACAAATCCCGCATGCGAGGAATCAAGTACAAATACATCTTTGCCAGCACGCTATATCACAATGGGGTGGGGGCTATGGTTTTCCAGCAGTACCTGCCGCAGGCTTTGGCCGAGGGTCGGTTTCGGCCAGCGCCCGAGCCGATCGTTTATGGCAGGGGTCTGGCCGACATTCAAGGGGCAGTGGACTTTCACAAGTTGGGAGTGTCGGCGCAGAAGGTGGTTGTACTCTTGGATGACTGATATTGTTCCTGCCTCGGGTTTGTCGTGGAACAATTTGTTTTCAAAAAAGAAAGGAAAAAAAAAAAAAAAAAAAAAAGAGGTCGGCGAACTAGGTAGCCCCATCTGAGCCATTATTTCAGCAATCACTTTTGTATTGGCACTGGCACATAAAGTTGAGAAAGTTTGGCATGATATAATTGCTCTTTCTGATCAACCGTGTTGAAGCTTCACTCATTGTTTTCCACTCACTATGCATTCTGGGTCTAACGCTGAAATGTGGACCAGGTTGGGCTACGTGTCGAAAGACTGGTTGTTAAGTGGGTGGTTGCAAAGGGTCCTAGGCTGTATAATTTCAGACTCTTCTTCGCACTGTATGCGCAACCTGGACCTGCTTTCGACTCATGCCTAGTAGACCGTGCAATGTACAGATTCTAAAACCCGAGCTGGTAGAAAACCTCGTCTGATCTAGAGAAACAGTAATGTCTGGCCGAGTGCTAGCCAGCCGTGACTGGGAATATCCACTCCGAAGAGCCCTATGGCTTTTTGATTAAACAGTGACTCAGAGTGACTTTCTGGATAGTGACTGTTGGAAAGACAGGGGGAAAGTTGGGTTGGAGAGTCGAGGAGAAACGCGAGGGGCGCCAGAGGGGATTCTATATCATATTGCAGTAAGGGAACAAGCACTAGTCGTGCATCGGCTGTCCTCGGTTCTGTCATTGAGCATCGGAGGAAATGATTTATTGGCCACTGCCGGGGACAGTCCTAGACAGTGGTGTTTGTTCCCGCGGCTCCCAGCAACGGTTCCCTCTCCCTCCCCAACTTGCTCTGTACCTCCGGTTTCTGGCCAACCATCCGCCAATACAGCGCCCAGACCAAAGACAAGAATTGCACTCCCGCGAACACCCCATTGTTCACAACCGGGTATCCATACAGAAAATACCAACCTAAGCCCAGCGGGTCCCAGGTCTCGGCATATACTACCCGGAAGACCCACGATATCGCGACAAGACCAAACACGACGGCCTGAACCGCAAGTCCCGTTAGACTCAGCGCCGTGTCGTGTGCATGGTTTCGACTCTGTGCTGCCTGGAGGAACCAGGAAAAGCCCCCGATGAAAGTAGCCATGGGGGTAAGGAGCACGGCATGATAGAAAATGAACATCTCGCGCAGGTCTTGGCGGGGCCAGCTCTTAGTCTCTGGTGTGAGACCCAATATGTCGATGAGCTCCGGGATCAGCGAGACCAGGAGGGCAAGAATGTAGAGATTGCGATACGGGCCTGTGTCGGAGCCCGGCCGTCGGAGGCGAACGCATAGTATGAAGCTGATCGTCTCTGGTTTAGTGGGCGTGGTACAAGCACCCATAGCGGACACTTACAGGATAAGAAAAAGAGCCCATGTTACGAGGTTTTGAACGAAGTTTAGCCAGTCCCCAGCGCTGAGAGGATCGTGCTTGAAAGTTCCAGCAGCAGCCTCAGGGACATTGATGGAGAGGTAGACTTCTTTCGTGAGCTCTTCAGTCACGACCAGGAGATTAGCAAGCACATAGCCAAGAGATATTCCCGTGCTGCTCTTCTTGGACCAGAGAGCATGAAGCTGAGGAGCGAAGGAGAGGATCGTGAGGACGATTAGAATACTTAAGAAGGTTAGTGCTGTGGGGGCATAGTAGAGGCTAGGTAGAGAATGCGCACACTCTGAGAGAATCAGACGCCTCTGGAAAAGAATCGTCCAGTGGTTGCATCATCTTAACTGGCAAAAGTCGCTGGTTCCTGAAAGGTGGTGGGTGATGGATGATGGATGGTGGATGTTGAGAGGGGAATTGCGGCTGAGGATGCTAGTCTAGCCACAAGCGACTAACTAGTCACTTGGCTACCTTGACAGTGTACGCGTACTACATACAGTATATTACATGTACTGTACTGGACGGACGGACAGCCGAGTTCACTGAGCTGGTGTCCAAGGCCACGAATTCATGTACAGAACATACTTAATTGCGTTATTTGTGCGAAGTCTGCCAATATGGGATCTGCGGCACTGTTTAGAAAGCACTCTGAGTACATAGACGTCAAATATGCTACCGCCTACGCTGAAGCTACGGAATTTCCAGGGGCAAGAGCAAGATCGGTTTTGCGAGCGACAATTTGCAGTGGGTTCCATGCCAGACCATGGTCGACACCACGTTGACTAGAGAATTCCCGCGCCAGATCCTCCAGCCACCCGTGCTCCTCGTCCTTGCCTTGTGCCAGATTAGATTGCAGGATGCCCAGCACTCCACTGAGATAATTGTGATAGTACTGACCCCGAACGGTGTCAGTCCACGAGCCCAGCGTCGCTTCGGTAACGTCGAAACCGTGCTTTCGAAGCGTATCTGGCAACGTTTTGACCCAGCTGTCCGTCAGTCAATAAATGCTTGTCAGGGAGCGCTCATACCAAGCCACAGACACGCGATTTCTCTTTCATGCGAGAGCAAAGCCACATACCTTGGATCGAGATGCTGTTCCTCCAGAAAATGCGAGTACACATGCTCTAAGCGTTGCATAGGCTTAGATAACACCCCGCTCGTGTCACGATCAACCTCCTCCCATTGAAGGTAGCCCCCAGGCTCTGTATGCATCTCTATCAGCCCATGAGATCTGCATTTGTTTCAACGGCAACTTCACATACTCAACAAGGCCTCAGCGAGCCGGATCAATTTGCCCGGGCAATTGTTCCGCACCACGCAGGCCCATAAACGTAGGTGCACCACGTCGAAGGCGGCGAGCATGTCTTCCGGGATCTGATCGGACATGAGGTCCAGAGTGTTCAATTCCACGTTCTGTGGAAGCGTCGAGCGGGGTGGGAAAGCATCAGACGAAACATCGTAGCCGACAATCTCGACTTTCTCCGTATCTATCGATCGGCTAAGCTCGAGGCACCAGATGCTAGATGCGATATGACCGTCAGAGCTTCGGGAGCATTAGCGGAGGGACGAGGGCATACCCTGTTCCCGTGCCGAGATCGGCGACCCTCAGACCCGGCCTCCGGGGAACCAAGGGGCTCAGAACGTGACCCGTCTGGAGTTTCCATAGTAGGTGCTGCTCATTGAGTCTGATGGATAACCTCATCAGTGCAAGCGATTGTGGGGGAAGACGGACTCTTGCAACTCCTTACCTCACACTCTCATGCAAAGTCCGATCTAGGATATACCCATCAAGGGAAGTAATTGGAGCCATTGCGGTGGTACGATGCCGTGACCCACGGCCTCCCGTCAACTGACACTCTGCGAAGCCCCAAGCCGGCAGAATCAGTTCATGGCTACTGGGTATGGATTTATAGAAATGAAAGGTGGGTACTAGTTTCGTAGTCGTCATTCGCCCGGCAAGGCACGGACCGTGCATCATCAGGAATTCTACTCCTCAATCCCCGCTGGCTTCCCGGCCGATCGCTCCATCGTACCCTCCATGAACCGACTTGAAGCCTGACTGCTCTTTGCTAGTATGGCCTCACAAACGATCATCGAAGTTATGATAAAAGTGCTGACGTGAAGACCGGACCCAGTCAAGACATTGCAGAAGAGGGGTGAGTCATGCAGGTCGGCTGGCATGCGCCCGGAGCGCTGCAAACCAGGAAGACAATCCCGGGGCTATCGAAAACACCATGAGATACAGCGTGGGCGAATAAGATGTCGAACATAGGGATGTGATGGGAAGAGAAAAACTTCTTTTGGGAGATAGTCACTTCTTCAGGCCGAACATGCAGCCGGTGGGAGTAGCTCACAAAATTCTTCATGCACGCCGCCGTTTTGGGAATGATTGATCTCAGTCACGGGTCGGAAACCACGAGTGAAGATTGGAACGCATTCTTTAACCCGCGATACAGATTGGGACTTAAGGGATAATGTAAGGTACAGTACCTAGTATACTGCACGTGATGGATGCCATCTTCGAGGAATTCAAGATTGTGCCCAGAGAATCAATCGAGATTTCCATGCCTCCAACAAGAATGATGTCTCTCACGACTAGCCATTGAGTGACGTATGCTACATATCTCATATTGCCACATGATGAGTATATCTGTATATAACTTTCAGGGCATCTGCAGAATTGAAATAAGTGATCATGGCCTGGATGCAAACAAGCATTCTATCTGACCTGGAATCATGTTGAAAAAAATGCTGTATGTACATTCAATCGAGGTCGGAGCTGTATCCGACAGGGTGCAGCGACTGGCATTTCTTGCTGCCTGCTCTCTCGGGATCGCATTTGTGTCATGCTACGTCCTTGCTCCTCTTGTTCGATCCCTCCGATCTCCCCTCCGCAAGCTCCCAGGACCATGGTATGCTCCACTGACGACATTGCACCTTCGATACGCCTTCGCCAGGGGTACTATCTGGAAGCTTGTCGAGTCCAAGCACAGACAATATGGACCGGTCTTTCGGTACGGTCCTCGACAAATATGGATCTCGGACAAAGATGCCTTGCGAACTATTCTCCAAAAGGTGGACCTTCCCAAGATACAAATGTACGCGGAGATCTCTCGTGATGCGCACAGCCCAGGCCTGTTTGGGGAAGTGTAGGTTGACCCACACTTCCCTCTCCTCTTGCCCTCTAATGGACTTCGGCTAGGAGACCGGATCCCCATAAAACCCTCAAGCGCTTCTTATCACCCAGATTTACGGTTGCGCATGTTGACAAACAGACCCACCTGTTTGAGAAGTGTATCGGGGATCTAATTGCAAAATACTACCAGCTCACCAAGGCTAAGGCAAAGACAGATGTAGTCGTGACAGACTTGATGATGGATTTGCATGGCGTGGCGCTTGACATGTGAGTTGTTCTGTCCTTGCAAGAGAAGGCTGAAGTTGATGTCTTGCTTTCAGCATGGGAGAGTGTTCCTTTGGCCGAGGTTTTGGGCAAACACTCCCAGTCGAAGAAGAGTACTTAGGAATGGAGGACCGCATCTGGCTACAGATCCCCCACTCCATCTTCCATGGCATGACTCAGAGGTATAAGGTAGAGGCCTCCAGATCCTCCAATTTCTGTTGTTACTAGTGACTCTAACCCAATCATCGAGGCTGTAGATGGTCTACATCAAGCGATGGTTACGAGGGCTCGGGATAAAGCTGCACTTTGACTGGCCTGCTGATATGATTCGGGTAAGTATCAATACAGCTTCGTCTCCTCCAATATATACCCCAAAGGCTTACATCGACTTTCCCCGAAAAGGCCATCGATGCTATCGTCAGGGAACGCTCCGACTCCAAAGACCACTCTCGAACAGATTTACTTCAACATTTTCTCGACAGTGGTACCCGACCAGATTCGTCCGCACCAATGAACACTCGGGATATCATCGACCAGGTGTCAGAGATTCTCCCAGCCGGGTCAGAGACCACTTCTGGAACGATTGCATGTCTCTTTCTCGAACTCCTACACAATCCCGACAAGAAAGCCAAGTTACTGGATTCACTCCCGGTACTTACTGCCACTGATCCAATTATCAACAGCAAGACGGTGCGGACAGAGCCCGAATTTCGCTATCTGAATGCCTGCATCAAAGAGACGCTGCGATTGCACCCTATTGCGAGCGAGATGGGTCGCAAAACTGGCACGGATTGGTATGAACTTGCGGGATACTCCATCCCGCCGGGCACCGTCGTCTCTGCTAGCTACAGGCATCTGCATCGTAACCCAGAGTTCTGGCCCGAGCCATTGAAGTTCTGGCCGGAACGATGGTTAGAAGATGAGAACGCCCGTGACGGTGCTCCAGAGCCCGAGTAAGTATCCGACTCGTGGGAGTGAGCCCCGTGTATGGTCACTAACAGGTATGCAAGTATAAGTGCCTATTATCCATTTTCTGCGGGCCAGCACTCGTGCATTGGAATCAAGTGAGTAGTTGAACAGGTACCCGCCTACCGTACAACCGCTAATGGTAGTAGCTTCGCGAGGGCCGAGATGCGCATGGTCGCTGCAAACGTTTTCGCCCGGTTCGATCTCGAAGATATCATGAACCAGCACCTTGATTTCCGGCAATACATCACAATGCAGTTGGAGAACGGCTCGCACAAAGTGGTATTGAAGCAGCGGTTCTAGCCTGGTTTCTGCAAGAAAATCCGGGCCGACATCCCACGGGTGTTGGATATCAGGTTGCTATGGTAAAATGGGGCACAAAGGTCCCAGTCTTCTGCTAGATCAAATTTAATGGCAAATGGATGTACTATCAGTTCTCCGAATCCAAGTCTCTAGGGATTGGGCAGTTTGGTTTCCTTGAAAATTTGATATGATTACAGTACACTACTCGAAATAAAGCCTGCACTTTATAACACGCCGAGCTCATGTTCATTTGACTTTATACCTCGCGGTTGCAAACTCAGGCAGGGGGCTATGCGTTCGTAAGCTGGATAAACCCTTTATCCTTGTTTATATCATCGCAAAATCTTTGCAGCAAAGGAGATACTCGACGTATGCCCAGTAGAACTGATCTCCACAACAGCAAGGACTAAGCGATGATCACTTACCCCCGTATCTATTTGCGACCCACCCATCCAAATATAGGTCCAATACCCCGGGCCATACTTCTGATATTCAAAAGGAATTCAGTGATGCACACCCTGGATTAGTAGCACAGTGTACCCGAGATATGAAAAATACTTTATCTTCAGAATGTCGTGTCACCCAGCAGTTGTGCGCAGTAAGGTCTCGACCGCCTTTAGTGGATTTCCTGGATGGCTGCAACGTGTTTAATCTCTGAGAAGTAAGGATATCGAGAACGTAACCAGCCATCTAACCGGACGCACGCAGGAAGGAAGCCAACCAACGGTACGCTTCTTCAACCATGCGATCGAGAGCCGGTCCGCCTGCCCCGAGGTCAAACAGATGCAACCCATCCGCGGGTAGGGCAATCTCCGTCGCGATCCCCTGCTCTCGCAGCGCCTCGTGCATCCTCAGCGCCTGTGTTCACGGAACCAGCTGATCACTCTTTCCATGGAGAAGATAGATCGGAGAAAGATGCTTGCCCGCAGAGGCAGCCGCATAGGGGCTGAACTGCCGAATCCGATCCGTGGGCGGCGGCGGGGCGAAGAGAATGGAATTGATCGCCTCCTCGGTGTTGGGAATCGCACTGCGAGGTGGCAGTCCGTTGGCAAAGATCTGAAGGGTCTGCCCATGACGAAGCATATGCGTGTAGATCCGCGCGCGGGGGCTGCGGGCGGCCAGCGCGTATGCGGTGACGATGTCCTCGTGGTTGAAATCGTGGCCGCTTATCTATGGAAGTTCAAGAGTGGTCAGCAGGTTTCTCGGAGCTATCTATCAGGCACAGGGATGCACCGGCTGAGATTGGACGTCGTCGAGGATAGTAGGATCGCCGTCCTTGCGTGAGGCTTGCGCCGGAAGCTCGCGGGGCGTGGTGAAGTCTAGTCCAGGTCAATATGCTCTTTTCTGCCCCCCTTTCTCTGCCCGTTTCTAGAATCGAGTACTCACATGGGTCTTCGAAGTCGGTGGGACAGTAGAAAGAAACAATGGCTTCGGGAGGTCGATATCCTGGAATATCCCATGCTTGGCCGAGCAAAAGCGCAAGGGTGCCTCCAGAGGACCAGCCGATGACTCCCACACGATCGCCATCCAGGCACAGACCACGGTGTTTGAGTGTAAGTTGCGGCAGTTGCGTGCGCACCCACTGCAGGGCCTCCCGCGTGTCGGTCATCGGCCCATCAAGGATGTTTACCTCAGGACAAAGACGAAAGTCGACGCTCACCAGGACGATTCCTTGGCTGAGGAGGAATTGGATCTGATCTTGGGGAACATGCTTTCTTGACAGCATGACGTTTGCACCACCGTGCAGGAGAAGAGCTGGGGCCGGGGTGGCGTGTAGCCTGGCTGTTTGCCTAGGCCAACCCGGGTAGGAGACAGTGGAATTCCCATCAGCACGCGGGTCTAGGACGAGAGGACTTACCCATAGAATAATTGTACGCAGGCCCCAGCTGAAGCCTGGGAGGGTAGTAGATATCCGCCGAGAGATGCGGCTTGCCGGTCTTCCAAACCAGGGTTTCACAATCCACCTCACAAGGGGGGCAATAAGTTGGAATTTGGTCGCACTCCAAGGCGAATCCGCAGATCAGTCGAACAGTCTGCGCTTCCGGGCTGGGCCCGTCACTTATCATAACCTGCTGAAATCCTGCACCGCGCATAGCATTGTTCCACGTGGCGGGGGACCCCAACGCGTACGAACGCCCGTCGTCGAACAGCCACCAGCCTTCCAGCAGACCGAAGATCAAATCCATAAAGAACAGCCGCCGGGTAATCTCATTCAGGCAGATCAGTCCGTCGGGTCGCAGCATCTGACGCGCGTTCGAGAGCGATACCTGGAGGTTACGTGTGGCATGTAAACAGTTGGTGGACACAATGAGGTCGAATCGCCCCAGAAGGTCAGGCTTCGGGGGCTGCTCGACATTGACGACCAGAAACTGCATCGAGTCGTGGTAGGCCTTGAACCGACGTTGGGCGGTCTCTACCATTGAGCTCGAGATGTCAGTGAAGCAATACTGGAATGGGACGCCGGAGTCGGATAACGTATCGAGCAAGGGGACAGTAGATGCACCGGTTCCAGCGCCGAGCTCGAGGATGCGGATGGGACGGGGTGAGCCCGGGCTCATCACCAGCTCCTTGACAAATTGGCACAACAGCTCGTTTGTACTGCGGAACATGGGGGCGTCACCGTAAAATTCAGTCAACAGCTGCCGGTTCTTGGGGCTGCCAAACAGTCGCTGTAAAGGGTCAATGCGGCCAGAGATTAGACCAGCTAGATCTGTGCCCGTCAGATGAAGGAGCTCATGCTCGAAACGGTGCTGCGGATGCTTCTCCATTATCTCTCTTCAAACAGTGAAGACGATGAGGGCATGATGACATTCCTGTCGGAGCGAATGTACTCGGTGCGGCCAACCGCATCGATGACACCTGCATGCTGTAGGATCTCATACAGAGCAAGCTTGAGCTTAACGTGCCCCGATCTCACCTGGATGGAGGGCACGCCACGTCCAGGTTCCATCGTACGCACATCACAGCCGATCTGGGCAAAGGCATCAAGGACGTAGGCAACGGTTAGTTGAAACTGCAAGGGGTGCACGTTATCCCAATACCCAAGCCAACCATTTTGCCTCGCTAGCCCCGGAAAGCTGCTCTGTATATGATTGAACGTGATCTGTGGTTTCCAAGCCCCATGCCGAGGACTCGCTTGTGACTTGTCCTCGGGGATAATAACCCGTCTGGCTGACAGCGACTGCCCAGGACCTAGTTGAATCTGGTCACCTCCTAGGCGGGCACACAAGTCGGAAAACGTGGTGGCAGGTTGGATTTGTACTTTGGCGTTGGAGCAGCAGAACTCTTTCTCGATGTCTCCCACGAACTCCTGAAAGAGCAACGAGTCAACACCCAAATCGGTCAGCGTGGCTGCCGGCTCAGTGAGCTCAAGCGGGCCCAGATGCGCCTCTAATAGTCGCTGCAATCGATCGGCTACGGAAGCTCGCGCCTCGGAGTGTGTTTCAGAACAAGAGGAGGTTTCCTCGCTGTGGGGAAAGCTCTCCGAGCGCGAAAGTGATGGTGTGCGAGACAGCGGCGACGGCGGAGCAACCTGGGCTCGCACACAGCGGTATAGAGTCTCCAGGGATGTCTGCACGCCAATGTTGCTGGCAGCAATGTCCACATTGTATATTTCCTTGATCTTCTGTCGCAGTTCGTTGATCCCAAACGAGTCTACACCAATGCTCTGGAGGGTGGTGGTGGCTGATAGCCCATTGAGGGGGTCGTTGACCAGATCGCCCAGGATCCTATTGACCCGTGCCCCAACATCGACGGTCAGATCGGGTGGAGATGCTTCGTCCGGCACACCGGGCCCTCCGACTCGTTCCTCGTGCTCGGCCTTTGGTGACCTCGTCATGGTGGGGCTGGGGGCTGCTGCCAACCTCGAGGCAAGGGCTTTCTCAAGCGATCCAGCTGGGGAGTGACGGAACTCAACCCCATAGACAGTTAGGGCCAGCTGACCGGTCTCAAGGATGAAGGCCAGGATGTCGTACTCTATCGACGTGGCATCCTGCCTGATTGTCCGCGCCACCACCTGCCAGCCTGCATGGCAGGACTCCCAGGAGAGTTGAGGACTGGGTTGGATGCACCTCGCCCGTGCGCAGAGGTAGATTCCCATTTCTCGAGTCTGACTGGGACTGCGGAAGAGGTTGGTATGTGCCCCAGCTACTTGTAACAAACCCTCCAACACCACGGGCGGGATCAGCTCCGAGTCAGGGAGAAGGGGAGAATCTCGAGACAATTGAAGGTGAGCTCTGGCATACTGAGGGGCCCAATGCCAGCGCCGGATGAGCTTATAGACCTTCCCATAGGTCACCACTGGTGCCAATAAACGGTAGAGAACATCCCCGCCTATATCACAGGTCTGGTCACTAGGCTGATTGTGTGCCATGATGGACTGACAGGTGGAATCTAGAGTGATCAAGTCGGAGGTCCGCTGCACGAGATCATCGTCGTTTTCGGCAAAGCGAATGCGCCCTGTTGCACTGCGCATGTCCGGCTCCACGTAGAAGGTGAAATCTCACAAGGGCGGAGTCCTCCCATTTTGTCGTTGCATGGTCAGCTTGAGCTTCTTGCCATTGTTTCGGCCAAGCGGCCTGGAAATCTGGAGACCCTCCACGACCCCAATTTGTGCCTACAATCCGTTTTGCGCGGGTGAAATGAGCCGCGCTGCGCGCATCACAATCTCGACATAGAGCGAGGCGGGACAAACGCCCGTACCGGAGACGGCATGTTGATCAACCAGTAAAGCCCATTCAGGAGCTCGGGGGTCAATTCTCAGCCTCCAATCTTTCCCCGTCTTGTGATCTTGATAGCGTTCCAGGCTCACCAGCTGGACTTTCTCCTCTGTCGGAGATCGAGGCTTCGATGCCGTGGTTGACTCCTTCCACCCAAGCCAGTGTCGGTATTTCGTGAACGAGTACATTGGCGGAGTCAGGAGCCTGCATCCGCGACTCGCAGAACCTTGGAAAGACCAGAAACCCACATTCTGCCCGTCCTCCCAGAGGCCTCTGGTTATGTCACCCAAAGATTGCGGATTTGAGGCGCGTCCTGGGAGGAAAGTGTGATGCTTGCGCATCTCCTCCGGGACGGCGGCAGATGCCATCTGGACCGCCACAGAGCCCAAGTCGGCTTCCAGCCATGCACAGGGACCAAGCTCACTCACTATCCTATCAACTGCAGCTTGAAAGTAGACCGGCTCTCGTGTTTGTTGGCAAATAAGGTCTGGCGTGGGTAGATCCCAACGCTGACTGTCCGAACAGGGCTCGAGATGGACTCGCGGCGGGAGGAAAGTCAGCTCAGAGGCGAGAGTGTGAAGATCCTCCAGAACGGGCTCTGTTAACCAGCTATGATAACCGTGCGTGACGTTCAGACGCTTGTGCCGAATCTGCTGCCGCTGCATGTCGTCCACCGCGTTCTGGATTGATGCCTCGGGCCCGGCGACAATGTAGCTGTTGGGCCCATTGTAACAGGCGATCTCCAGATCGTTGTACTGTAACAGAGCCCTATGCACCTCAGGGTATGTTGCTTGTACTGCAAGCATCGCCCCTTTATCGTCCGACCATTCAGTCTCGATCAATCATGCTCGCCCAATGATCAGTTTCAGTCCGTCCTGCAGTGACAATGCACCCGAGGCGCACAACGCAACTAGTTGGCCGATTGAGTGCCCCAGCATTCGCGCAACCTGAAGGCCACTATCAATCCATGCTCGCGCACATGCATATTGGATGGCAAACTTCCTGGCGTGGAGGGTAGCCAGCTCGTGGCATGAAATGTCCTCGAAGATCGCCGGATACAGTGACATCCCACCTACAGCACTGGTGGCACGAGCACATTCATCAAGATGATGCCGGAACTGACTGCAGGTCTCGTAAAGGATTCGGTCCACAGACGCGGTGGTGCCTGTCTGCCCAGAGAACAGGAAGACCACGGGTTTGGTACTCTTAGGCCGACCGAGTGACTCTAACGCGACCGGATTCCCCACAGTCTGAAGTTTCTGTATCAATTCAGGCAGTGTTTGGACCGTCGCTGACCACTGATACCGGAGTTGAAGGTTCATTTTGCCTGCCAGGCTGAATGCAACCTCTTGAATACTTCCTCCAGCCGTCGCTCCCGAATCCTGAAGCCATTGCTTGACTGCCTTGCAATTTCGTTCTAGAGCGTCTGCACTGTGAGCGGTAATACATACCGGATACGTCGCCACCCTTGTGTCCGGGTCACCGGCCTCATGAGTGGGAGGCTCCTTGACAATCATCGCTGTGATATTCCCTGCCGCACCAAAATTGTTCAAACAGGCCACCATGGGCTGTGCCTGCCACGGTTGCATCTGGTGTGGAACCATGATGTGATCCCGCGACTGGTCGATCTCCGAATGAAGCCGTTGACATTGGCCTGAGGTGGGATTTGGCGATGCTGCATCATAAGGATCACTTTGATCAGGCCTACTACTCCGGACGCCCCCTCCGTGTGCCCGATATTGGCCTTGACAGAGGTGAGGCACATGGGGGCCGCCTCACGACTGGGCCCAGCGAACACCTCAACAATTGCCTGATATTCGGGGATATCACCGACCCGGGTCCCGGCTGCGTGGGCCTCCACATAGCTGACCTCGTGCGATTCCATCGCCGCCGCTGTGAGCAGACGTCTATATAAGGCCCGGTGGGCTGCCGGATCTGGGGTGGTAATGGGGACCTCGTTGCTGATCTGTCGGACAGACGATGCACAGATGACCCCAAGGATGGGATCACCGACCTGCTGAGCGAAGTCCAAGCGTTTCAAGAAGACGAGGCCGACTTCTTCCCCACGCGAGTACCCATCCGCTTCGGCATCAAAGGGAGCCGCCCTACCGGTTGGGCTGAGAATGACCCCGCTAGATTCTGATAGAGGTACGGGCTTGTCATCACCTCGACCCCCCCCGCAAGGGCAGCCGTGCAGTTGCCCAAAAGAAGGTCCTTGCAGGCGGCATCAATGGCGACCCGGGAGGAGGAGCACGCGGTATCGAGGGTCATGGAGGGCCCGGTCCAGTTGAAGAAATGACTGATGCGACCGCTGCGAAAGGCCCGGAGACTGCCAAGCGCAGCGAAGGCACTCGGCGGATGAGCCGCCAGATTGTCGTTGTAGTCCGATCCAAAGCCCCCGATATAACAACCCACGTTGGTCTCGGGCTGGGTGCCGGGCCGGAAGTAGTGGGAGCTCTCCAGGGCATGGTAGGTGGCTTCTAAGAGGAGGCGCTGCGCCGTGTCCATAGTGGCCGCCTCTCGACTCGATCGGCCGAAGAATCGGTGGTCAAAGGTGTCGACCTCGTCGAGGAAATTGACATGGACCGTAGACAAGCGGTCTCCACTCCGCCAGTGGGCTTTGAGTGGGAACCGGGTGTTGGGAGGCTCGCTAGCCATGCACTGTCCTGCCGCCAGGAGGCTCCAGAACTCCTTAGGGCTGCGGGCCCCCGGCAGCCGGCAGCTCATCCCCACTACGGCTATTGCATGGTCAGGGTACCCTTGGTTGGGTGGGGCTGTTGACTGTGACATCTCGATTTGGTCAATGCTGACGGAGTGTGCGGTGCTGGATCAGGGATGCCGTTCTGAAAAGGGACTCATTCCACATCGCCGTCTCCGCCTTCTTATCCTCGCAACCCAACAGTGGAAGAGAAAGAGAACCCGGACAGTGGGTTGACGTCAGACGTGATCTGGGAACCACACCGAATGTCGGGTTATTGAGGCACATCGCTACTTCAGACCAAAAGCAGGTTTTGATTTGGACGTTGGACCTCTTGCTCCTCATCACAGACACACAGCCAGCATCAAGTAATGATAAGAGCGCATAAAGTATAGCCCTGTAACTACCCACAACTAGTGGCTAGATTTGGGGGTGGGAACGGATCGAGTCTTGCACGTATTGCCACGCTGCAGAAGAAAGGTAGCGCCCGTGGCTGGATTACAATCAGATCTTCGTGGACGGGGCTGTTGAGCATTTTGGCAGAATGCGCTCGAGCCCCGCACTAGGCCAACCCCAGTCGTGCATGCCTACATCCATGATAATGCATCCATGCATGTTTCAGCCTGGAGCTGAGCCTGAGACTCCTACAGCCTGCCCGATTCGTCAAGTCTGTTCAGTCCCTCCAATTTGTCTCGCCATTCACGGATCCGCGCCCGTTCCCTGCGCCAGCCCTTCTTCCCATCGGGTGGGCACTTTTGCACGCGGCCTAGTTGCACGGTTCATGTCGATCCATACCAGAAGAATCTCACCTAATGATGTAGTCTACTGTAAATGGACAGGCCTGCCGGCCACTGCTACCCGCGGATCTGGAGAAGATCCCAGGTTTCTTCGTAGTTCCCTGTTTTCATACCTCTCACGATATGGTCTGGCGAAATGGACGGACAATGCGATGCGAGGTGCTGCACATTGGCAGCCGATAGAGGGAACCTGATATTCCCAAATCTTCCATCATGTAGTGAATCAGCCCCGAAGACCCCATTTGCAATCATGCCACGATTTTCTCGGTGGCGGAGGAAGGTTGGTTGGACACGCTCGCCCATCTAGCGACCCCATGAAACCTTTCGAGCCAACCAGAGCCAACCACATGAGCTGTGACAGCACGGCCACATCCTTCTCGTGAAGTTGTTCACCTCGCTGGATTCTTTCATCGACCTCAATGAGACTGCCGCATCGTGTTACAGAGACGCGGTAAGCTCATAGGGTGAGAACTGCTAGATTGGTTGTGGTTTGAGGAGGATGTGGAGAGATGTGCACACATAACTGGGGGCTGGCAGGAGCAGCATCACAGAACGAATCAGATTCGCCATCAAAACCTGGTTTTCTACTGCTGATCTCGCTTATCTCAAAATCTCAATCCAGCCAATCCATGCGAGGCCTGCCTCCTTTTCTTTTCCGGTCACGCGTCATGAGAAGATAAAATACAGCGCGAAGCTCCAATCAATGCTTGTCGTTCATCGAACAATTCCGGCGTAACGGTGTTCAAATCTAATATACGTTGGGTATCCATGCGAGGCCCTATGAAGGTCGAGACGTCAATGTCCGTGGACGCGGCGGTATCGGTGACAAGGCGTGCATGCGTCCGAGCTGTTTTAGGCCCGCATGCCTGCATGCCTGCTGGACACTTGGTGACCAAGTAAAAGGATGAATTCTGCATGATTGCTTTGCTAGCAAGCACGTTTCTAAGGCTCAGCGTCATCTTGCAGGCGGTCATGGCGCTACCCGCTGGGCTACGAAAGAAGGCTTAATTAAGGAATGCTATATCGATATTGATGAACCGACACCTGCAACCCAGAGAACACGAGCAGCAGGCCAAGGGCCAAGGTTCTGTCCCGGAACAAAACCAATAAAGAGACCTGGAAGTGTGTACCACCCCTATAGTCCCGATCTTAGCACATCTGCGCCACCAACTTGGTCAATCCAGCTTATCTCTTTGGTCCCCATACTCGACTCATTGAGGCAATCACCGAACCCCAACGAAACATTCATTCCTCGAAGTGTATTTCTTTGCCCTGGGTTCGCAGGCCAGGTTTCGTAAGGATTTGTAGCGGGACTTCAATTATGCTTTTGGGTGTTTCGATACGCCCTCATGTTCGTCTTAACCTAAATATCACACCGGGTACGTCGGAGAGGGTCGGTGCCGATAATCAAGGCATACTGCGCGATGATTGCACGCACAGGCAGAAATCGACATTGGTATTTGGCACTGTTCGAATTCGGCACAAGTGGTGATAATTCTTTCTCAAAAGGATTCCGTCCCATACCGTCTCTTCTAGATATATGATGCTCGCAGCCCTTCGCCTCTCCACAGAAATTCGGCAATCAACAATTACTCTGCCGAAGGATCAGTGATAACGGTAGTGTCCCCAGAACAATGATATTGTGGTAAAAGGCTCGGAAGGAGATAGTTTATTGCATGGATAGATTTGTCCTCCAGTGCGTTTCTGCGCGCGACTGCAGAGGGATATACACCGACCACAGAAAAATGACAGATGAGCCAGACTGCCTAGTAATTTTTGAATCAGGCCATAAGTTAACGCGCGGGGTAAATCACACATCGGTTTCTAGCGCCAGGAGCCGATAGTGAGCTGACCCGTGCTTGTCTCAGGCCTTATCGCCTGCAAATCAGATTATCAATCTTGTCAAGGCACGAATCGCATGCAGGGAAGGAAAAAGATCTCAGTTAAATAGGGGGCTAAGGTTGCACCCAGGTCAATGCCTTACGTAGGAGTTCTATTCATCCCACAGATGGAGCAGAAGTCACACCAGCTATTTCGGGAGATAAAGTGGGGTAACTTGGAACTCAGAGAGCGAGCCCTTGGCATCCTGGATCCACCGGGCGCGCGATTTTAATCGGTGGATAATGATGAATCATGCGCCCGCAAACGGATAGATGTTCTGGGTTCTGGAACACGCAAGATTTCCGGAGCGTCATATCTATGTCTTATTCGCCTCCACTCCAAGGGGCATGATTTTCTTTTGAAGCATAGGTGTAGAGTTGATTCAGAAAATGGAGAATGCTTAATATTAAAGTCCAAAAATAGGAGATTTACAAATCGAAACAATTGCACACTCCCGAAATACAGGCGCACGTCTGGGAGCAGCAGTTTTCAGGGTATTCGAAGATGCAAGGTTGGCCGACGGCGGTGCACTTCGGCGGGGCGGCGCACTTGACGGAAATGCTGGCGGGCTGACCGGCCAGCGGAACCGAGTAGGTGGTGGGGTTGCTGGTTCCGCCCGTGCCCGACCAGACCGCGGCGCTGTTGCCGGGCTTCGGCGTCGCGGTGAAAGTGAGCTTGCTCTTGCGCAAAGCCATGAAGGTTTTGGATCCGCTGTCGAAAGTGAAGGAGTCCCCGTAAATGTCGGCCGGAAACTTGACCGTCACGGAGCATCCTTCATTGGTGATGGTCAATTGGGCGCAAGCTACGCTCGCGACCGCATTGCCGATGAGGCCGTTGGCCGGGGTGTGGCTGCAAATGTCTCTTTTGTCAAGCACCGGCGAAGCGCTTGCTAGAGATGCGCCAAGGAGGTAGAGGAGGCTGCCTTTGAGCATTGTGATTGGGTCAGGGGGGTCGATGTGGAGCGATGGTTGAGGTCTGGGGATGGTGGTGCTGTATTGAGACTAGAATACCGATGTTCAACAGCAGGATCGGCGCAGGTCTGCTCTTTTATATCCCAAATCGTCCCCAATTTTACGGCACAAGACTACTCGACAGAAAAGGGATATTGAACTGGATGAAGCCTATTGCAGACGAAGTTCAGCTCGATTCATGGAATAAGAATCCCGTGAGCGGCTGGTACGAGGTCTCCATACAGTGCTGAACTTGCTTGCGGCTCGGTCTCTATGCTTAGATCATGGTTACTGGGCTCATTGGTCGATCGAAGTTTGCTCCTGCGTTCAGATTGAGTCTAGATTAGATTTTTTATTCCCTCGCGTGGTGGTTCGACATGCGCGTGATTAAATCCAAGACTGCATGTAAACCATGTGCCACAACCCGGTGAACCATGGCAGTGGAACTTGCGGGTAGAAAGGCTTCTGCGCACCTGGTATTTCCTGCCATCCCTCTAAGAATTGGATAATCGACTAAAATTAAACAGGCGCAAAAGCTGAATGATGTTATTACCATTATTCGGAACAATATATAGAACAAGATATTTTACACACTGAAATTCCGGGATAAGCTTTGTGACCAAAAAGTCAAGAATAATAGAAGGTGTAGATGCCGTGGAACTTACCACACCCAGTCGAGCCCGATTATCTCTCGCCTTGCCCGGATAGATAAACATAAGGAATAGAAGTGTATGTGGCGGGCGACCCATGCAATCTTCTCCAGTGATTCCCCTATCAAACCAAGCAATCCACACTTCCCTCCCCCTGATGCCTCTTGGCCCCTCTCACCTCCTCGTCTTCCACACTCCCATTTTCATCACTCCGACTAACCTGCACCTGCACATCCATCCTTTTGACAATCGCCCCCCCATTGCCCACCAGGATGCCTTCCTCGCTACTCAAACTCAAATCCACACTCCCATTTCTCCCACCCCCGGCTTCCACTCCCACATGATATTTCCGCATCTCGCGGCGCAGCATCTCGGCCGAGGTCAGTCGTGGTCGTCCCGCTACGGCGAGTTCAAACATCCCCCCGTCTCCATTTCCATTCCCATCCTGTATTCCCCCACCGTTTTTGGTGGATCGAAGGCGGAACCCTGAGGTACTCGTACTTCTACCATAGCCATAGCCGTACATGTTCTTGCCGGAGGAATATTGGTCGGTCGTCCCGAAGAGGCGGGGCCAGTAGCGACTGACGACCGCCTTGAGACACGGGGCGCAGGCGGCGACGACGGCAACATGCACCTCGACGGCGGAACTGCAAAAGCCGATGGCGTAGGTCGCGTCGGTGACTGGGTGGGTCGGGAAGAAGCCGTTCGCCAGGAGGATGATTCTCCAGATGCCAATTGCGGTTGCTCTGTTGTTGGGCTCTTTCTTTAGTGCCTGTGATGTGCAGGTGGTAAAGGGAAAGCGGGCGAAACGTACATCAACCCCATACATAATATCACGCAGACGGCCAGCTTCTTTCGCCACGGCATGTGGAGGCGGAAGGTGATCAGTGTCGGGATCGAGACGACGAGGATATCGGTAAACAAATTGATGGCGGCGGTCGCGACATAGAAGGCCCCTTGGTTGATGCAGGTGCCGTTGGCGAGGGAGGTGTCGTAGACGTACGCGATCGGGTGGCATTGAAAGATATCGACGAACAGAACAGCGAGAAAGAGGAGGATGGTGACGCTCGTGGTGGACCAGATGAGGAGTTTGACTGACCTGGATTGTGACTCGAGGCGGCGGAGGAAGAAGAGGATCGAGAGTTTGACCATTGTGAGGCAGGGGTTATAGATGAGTTGGTTGGCGAAATTCCACTTTTCGTCCAAGCTTGGGTGTCAGTTTTGGCTTGCCTTGATGCGGCAGGAGATTACTCGGAATGTTCGTACAATGAGGCCAGTTTTTATGTTGTAGTCTGCGGGAATGTCCCATTCGTGGATGCCCACATAGTTCGTTTTGATGTCTTTACCTGTCAGATAGACGTTTCAGTAGCCAATGAAGGTGGAAACAGACAATACCACGAGGTGATGGATTGGCCGATGGCCAGTATCTATGAATGTTTAGTGGGGAGTGAACTGGCGGGAGAGATCTATCATGCAACCCACATATCCGGCCACGATGAAAAAATCATCTGCCTCGATTAGCTAAAAGATCGACGGTCCCACGAGAAAAAAAGCTCACCAGGTCCGAACCGTGTTCCTGTCATAAACCGACTCCATGACCGCAGCACGACTGCGATCCCTCCCAAAATAGGAAAGGCGACTACGACCCCCAGAGCCACTTTCTGGTGACTGTCGTCAACCATGGGGGGTGGATAATCATCGAAGCTTTGCAAAATCTCGCGAGACACGGGGATAGGGGAACCGGGATCTTATGAACTCGGTGCAGCAGCAGGCAGGGATAAATTCCTGCATGCAGGTCCATTGCGCCGGTTTTCCAATGCTGACCAGCCCAGCAGGGATGCGTGTCTTGGTGTATCCAGATTAACTACAAGAACAATGCCCTAGACAGGCTTGTTTATCTCCCTGGTATGGAAATTCCGGGCGCGGCAAAGTATAGGCAATGACTGTGGCGTGCACTATTCACCCCGAAAGTGACATCTGGCCAATCACACACCAGCTCGTAAACATGCAGCATCTAGACGGCTCGACCGGAAAGCACGGCAGAGAGCGTGAGCAGGCAAATGAAACGTAATCTGGCACAGACAAATTAATTTGTTAGAGATAGCCATGGCCGTCGAGTTGCTGCCTGGGGGAGTTGTTCCGAAGCTAATCGCGCCGGTAGTTTAGGGCTCGGGCGGGATTGGCCGAGGCCCGGACCATCTGGGGATTTCGTTCCACCGGACCCTCACTAACGCCAGACTATCCACAATCGCTCCTCGCTAGCGACCAAACTAGCACCGGGGAATGCAAGCATGTATCCCGTGCAATTTCCGGCAAGGACCGGCCCAGCCTCGGGTCTTCGGCCCAAGCTAAAAAACACAATGGACTGTGGATCTGCCAACTGCACGTTGTTGTTGACTGTCGACCATCATCCCACATGGGCCATCCTGCCATATGCCCCACTAATTATGAGAGATTCTTGTCGGTGTTATTTAAATGGGCAAAACCCGGTCTGTAGCTAGGGGTTGACAGTTTTGTGTCCATCATGGTTCCTTCAACACCTTCACTACTGGCCGCACTGGGCGTATGCTCTCAGGCCCTGGCCTCTGTGGGGACAGTCCCTGTGGCTGCCACCACGGTTTCTTCCGCCAACTTAATCGCCAATGCGTCGTATTTCGTCAGTGAAACACAGCAGCTCACCAACAGTGCCTTAACGACGCTGGGGAACTATCAGTCCATGTTCAAGTTTGCTGACGCCAACCTTACCCTGCCCGCGGTGGGCACATGTAAGGTTTACCCCGGAGATGCTGCGTGGCCCTCGACCTCCCAATGGTCGGCATTGAACCAAGCACTGGGCGGTGCTCTCATCAAGACAGTCCCCCTGGCTGCGACCTGCTACCCAGCTTGGTCGGCCTACTACAACCAAACAGCCTGTGAAGAGATTTCCGATGACTGGACTGTGTCATACCTACAGTACGTTCCCCCAATTTTTGGCAATGTCTCTGAATGTAAACGCTGATCTGAGCAGTGCTGCAGACCCCGCCTCAATCATGTGGCCTCTATTCGAAGGCCGTAGCTGTCTTCCTACTGACATCGCGACTTCTTCTACCTGTACCGTTGGTGGCTACAGCAGCTATGCCGTCAATGTCAGCACCGTGGCGCAGATCCAGCTGGCAGTCAATTTCGCTCGCAACCATGGGCTACGTTTGACAGTAAAGAACACAGGCCACGACTTCAACGGCAAGTCAACCGGTGCTGGGGCCCTGGGCATCTGGACCCACAATCTCAAGGACATTGAGGTCTATGATGAATACCATCTGGGTGACTACCATGGCCCTGCGGTGAAGCTAGGCGCTGGTGTCCAGGCCTTCGAGGTTTATGAGAAGGCTCACGAGCTCGGCTACACCGTGGTGGGTGGCGAGGGCAAGACCGTGGGTGTGGCTGGTGGATACGTGCTGGGCGGTGGCCACTCGCCCATATCCAGTGTCTACGGACTGGCTGCTGATCAGGTTCTGGCCCTCGAGGTCGTTCTCGCCAACGGTCGCTTTGTTACTGTAACCGAGCAATCTAACCCAGATCTCTTCTGGGCACTTCGCGGCGGCGGCGGTGGTAAGCAGACACCCCCGGTTTTCTACCCATCCCTCTCTTCCACTCTCTAAACTTAACACAATCAATAGGGACCTATGGTGTCGTGACATCAATCATCTCGCGCCTCCACCCCAAGATCCCCGTCACTGTCTCCACCTTCTCCTTCATGACTTCCACTAATGTGACTGCCGACACTTTCTGGGCGGGCGTGGACGCGTACATGAAGCGCTTCCCGACCAATGCCGACGCGGGCACGTACGCCTACTTCTGGATCATCAAGCTCGGCGAGGAGAGCTTCGAATTCCTGATGAATCCCTACTTCGCGGTGAACCACACGGTGGCCCAGTTCAACAGCCTGATGGCCCCGTGGTTCGCCGACCTGGACCGGCTAGGCATTACCTACACCCCGAACACGACCTACTACGACAACTTTTACGACGCCTGGGAAGCGGGCTTCCCGCTCGAAACCATCGGCAGTGTGACGATGATGACCGGCTCACGCCTCATCCCGCGCGAGAATTTCGTCAACGCAACCCTCTTCAACCAGACCACTGCTGCTTTCCGTTCGACGGTCTCTGCGGGCTACTCGCTGCTGGCCTTCAACCTGAAAGCCGAGCTTCCCGCAGGTTACGCGGAGAGCGCGGCCAACCCGGCCTTCCGGACCACCTTGATGCATGCTATCACCTCGACCAGCTGGGACAGCAACGCCACCAATGCGGAGATTCTGAAAACTATGGATACCTTGACGTATGATGTGCTGGGCGAGTGGCGCAAGACATGCCCGGACTCTGGGGCGTATATGTCCGAGGCAGACATCCAGGAGCCGGATTTCCAGCAGGCATTCTACGGAAATTTCTACACACGCCTGTATGCTCTCAAGCAGCGATGGGATCCCGCGGGTTTGTTTTATGCGCCCACGGCCGTGGGGAGCGAGGATTGGGAGGTGAGAAGTCTAGATGGGTTACCAGACCAGAATGGCCGGTTGTGCCGTGTCTAAGAAAATCTAACTGGTACTGTTAAGTGCTCGGGGAAGTTTTGTACGATAAGTGTTGTATAGTATTGGTTGAAGACGGGGCAGTCATTCAGAGTCAAACAGCACTTAGTTCAGAGACTATTTGGCATTCTATATAGGAAAATGACAAGTCTAAGTGTTTAATAGACAGAGTATAATAAGAATAAAAAAGTCTTTTATAAATAGAGCTTTTTATTCTAATTTGAATAATATATCTCTTATCCAGTTTAGAAAAGGTTTAGTAGAATTATTAATATTCTAAATATTAATAATAGAAAGTTTTTTTAGAAAATTCTTTTTATAATTTATAAATATCTTAGATAATAATCTGTACTATAATTCTAAATTTTAATTATTTATATTTTTAAAATAGGATTTTTTTAGACTTTCTTAAGATATTTTTTAATAGTAATATTTACTAGTTCTGTTAGTTTATATTCTAAAAAAAATGTGAGAGCCATGCGGAGGGCATCCAGACGGAGTAACAGATTGGGACTAGTTTGACCTGTTTAATATTTTTATTTTATTTATACTGTATCCGGATAATATAATATTATAGAAAATATAGCTATTTTTCTTTTTTTTTCTTTTTCTTATACTTAAGATTTTATTTAAATAGTACTATATTAATAAAATTTAGTTAGTTTAATCGGCTGTTATACAATTTTAAGTATTATTTTTTTATTCTTATTTTTTAAAGCTTTTAGCAACTAAAATATATAAAAATATATATTTTTATTACTATTAAAAAGTCTTTTTTTATTTATACAAGTCGACGGTAATAATAGTTAATCTTAAAAAATATCTATTTAAAAAAATATAAATCTAGAATTATAAACCTTGATTAAATTCCTATTACTATAGCTATAGACTATATAGTAACTAAAAAATAAAAAAATTTTAATTTAAATTTTAATATATAATCAGATTATTACTAAAACTAAGAGAATTTTATTATTATAACCCGCAGACTATATAAAATTAACAAATAAAAACCGGACTTTAAAATAAGCTAAACCCTAAACCAACCAGTATTAGAATTAACGTATTAAGAATAATTATAAGAGTATAAAATATATTAAAGATTAAGCTGTTTAAAAAAAATATAAAAATTAATTCTATTTATAAATAAGATTAGTAAGGCTTCTAAAAGAAATATTATATCCGAAGAATTTTATAATCTTTATAAAAAGAATTTTATATATATCTTTATGTTAGTATTAAAAATCTATAATAAATTTAAAAAAAAGATTAGTAATCTATTAATTAAAGTAGATGAGTTAAAAAAAAGTTTAGCTTAGTTAAAGATTAATTAAAAAGTTCTATCTTATAATATTAATCTATTAGAAGTAGAAAAAGATATTTTAAAAAATAAAATAATCTAAGTTAAAATATAGTGAAATATTATATTAATTCTAATAACTAGTATAGACTAAAATGTCTTAAGTTTTAGAAAAATTATAAAATTTTTTAATTTTCTAATATTTAATAATAGAAAGAATATTACTTTTAAAGATTAAAAGCTTATAGTTAAATAGAAACTTAAAATTAATATTAATTATTATAAAAATCCTATTATATAAAAAATATATATTACTAGCTGCTGCGAGAGTAATATTTGTAAATATTTACTTTTTAAATTAAAAATTAAAACTAAATATTTTTTAAAAATATAATAGATATTCTATTTTATTTAGTTATAATTTATATTAATCTGAACTAAAAACAGAATATTAGACTAGAATATATATATCTTAAAATAATCTTAGAATAGGAATTCTATACTTTTTATATTTAGTTTTACTATCTAGCTGGTAAAGCAGGTATTTTAACTAGAGTGGCTAACGGCCAGGTCAGATCAGGTTAATTAGAATTTTTATATCTGACCACAGATTAATAGTTAGATATAAAAAATATATATTTCTAATTATATTAATCTACAGTTAACCGGTAGATTTAATTTCTTAGTAATTAAATTAATTTAAATAGATAGTAAAAAAAAATAGAATTTTTTTATCTAATTTCTATCTAATTTTTATTGAATTTAATTAATTTTTACTTAATTTTTATCTAAGCTAGTTTTTTCTAAAATTAATATAGATATAATAATTAACCGCGGTTAACTATTTTATTTAATAGTTAATCTGATTTTATATCTTAATCTAACCGCTAGATTATGGCTACGTTAAGATTAAGGTATAATGGTTAGGTTAAGTCACTCTAATTTTAACAGATTTTTAGAAATTTGATTTTTATTAAAAGCTATTTTTAAAATTTAAAAAACTAATTTTTATTAAATCTTATAAGCCTAATATTAACTTTAAATAGTATACTATTATATATACCGAAGGTTTTAAAAGTATAAATAAAAATATAAAATACTACTGCTAAATCTTATCTATAGATTATAAAAAAATCTAAATAATAAAATTATTCTAATAATTAATAAGAATAGAACTAAGATTTTAGTTAAATTTTATATAAATAAAAAGACCTATATTATATTACTAGCTAAAAAAAATACTTTTATTATAAAAATTCAAATATCTAAGTTATAACTATTTAAAAAAATCTTTTTTTATTAAGATAATAAAAAAAGCCGAATCCGAAGATATACTAGTAAAAAATTTAGTCTAAAAAAAGTCTCTATTTTGAATATAATAAATATAAACTAATAGTATATTAATTTAAGAATATTATTAGAATTTTTTAGAAATAGTTTTATAATTAAAATCCTAATTTTAAAAAATATAATAGCTCTTTTTATCTAAATCCTAGTAGATATAAGAATAAATATTTATATTTATATTAATACCAAGTTTATAGTTAAAATAGAAATATTTTTTAAAGTAAAATTATTCAGACTATAAAGTACTTAAAATATAATCAGATTTAATAAAAGATTCTCTACTCTTCTAATATATACAATCTATTTTAATTTTATAGTAAAAAAAAGATTTTTTAAACAGATTCTTTTTTTAATATTAGATTTAGAGTTTTAGAATATAATCTTAAGAAAATTATAGTTAGTAAAATAAAAAGTTTTATTAGACTATTATATAAACTAATTTATATAGCCTAAAAAACTTTTACTTAAGAATAAAATCTAAATCGGACTTTTATAAATAGTTTCTTTTAGAATTATGAAATATTAAAAGATAAATTAGATATACTAGAAGAATATTAAATAAAAAAACAGGTTATTGATTAAATTTAAAAAATAAATAATAAATATTTTTTTATTGAATTGTTAAAATATCTTTATTTAAAATAATTAATAACTAATATATAATACTATTTCTTCTAATTATAAAATACCAGAACAGCTGGTAAATAATAATTTATTTTTAAATAAAAAAATAATTAAAAAATATTATAATAAAAATTTAAGTTTTTTATTTTATATACAGGCCACACGGAGATTAGATAAGAGTAGAATTTATAATATTAATTAAGTCCAGGTGTTATATAAAATAAATAAGATACTATATTTTAATAAAAAAAAAGAATATAAGAATAAGCCTAGAAGTAGATAGACTAAAAATTAGATAAAACTAAAAACAGCTAATTTAAAAATAGTATTAATTAAAATAGCCGGCTTTTAATAATATCTAAGAAAATTAAAATTAAGAATTTTTATTATATTTTTATAAAAAATTAAGAAAATAATTAATAAAAAAATAAAGCCAATCTTTACTAAATAAAAATAATAAAAGATTATTAAGATTTTATTTTTTTAATAATATAACTTAGCTGAGATATTCTTTAAATAAGCCTCAGATATTTTATTATTATTCCGCGCCTGTGATTATAAAATCCAGCTTAATAATAAATTTCTATAAGAATTTTTTCTATTATATAAAATAATAGCTGAAAAACTAAAAACTATAAGATATTATATTACTAAAAATTTAAATAAAAATTTTATTATTCTAAACTTAGTTTTTTCTATATTATTTATTATAATAGCTTAGAAACCCGGAGAAGGCCTCTATATATATATAAATTATTAAAATTTTAATATATTAACTAAAGAAAATCTATATTTATTATTATTAATCAATAAGATTATTAACTAACTAAAATAAACTAAAATATTTATTAAGCTGGATATTAAATAAGACTTTTATTATATTTATATAAATCCTAACTTAAAGACTCTAATTATTTTTTAGATTAGATATAATATATTTAAGTATAAAATCTTTTTTTAGACTAATAAACAAACTAATTATATTTTAAAAATTAATAAATAAGATTCTGTATAAATATTTAGATAAGTTTATAATTATATATATTAATAACATTTTTATTTATAGTAATAATCTTCTTAAATATTAAATCTATATCCGATTAGTTTTTAAAAATTCTATAAAGCCGGTTTATAAGCTGCTATTTATAAGTATAAGTTTTATATTATAAAAATCAAATTTTTAGATTTTATTATTTTTATTAATAGAATATAAATAGACCCGGAGAAAGTAGTAGTTATTAAAAAATAAAAAATTTTAAAAATAGTTCACAGAATATAATTATTCCTAAGATTCTATAATTTTTATTAATATTTTATTGAAAACTATAATAGATTAGCCCGACTATTAATACTGCTTATATATAAAAATATTCTTTTCATATAAAATAAGAAATATTAGATAGTTTTTAAATTTCTAAAAGATATTCTTATTTTAATACTAGTACTAATTTATTATAATTCTAGTTTTTTCATCAGATTAAAAACTAATACTATAAATAAAATTATTATAAAAGTTCTGGCTTAGTATATTAATAATTAATAATATCTAGTTTTATTTTTTTTAAAGACTATAATACCCGCCGAACAAAATTATAATATTTATAATAAAAAAATACTAGCTATTAGAAAATCTATAGAAATTTAAAGAGCAGAGCTGGAAGATTTTTAATATAAAAATTTTTCTAAAATATTTATAAATTACTGAATATTAAAATACTTTATAACTTTAAAA